CGGCCCAGGAGGCTCCCCAGACAACCCAAGAAGGCCACAAGAGCGCCCCAAGAAGGCCCCAAGAGCGACCCAAGAGGGCCGAACGCGACATTTCAAGGTCTCCGGCGCGCGCGCGCCTTAGAGGCCCCCAGGAAGGCCCTGGAGGCCATCAAGAGGCTCCCAAGAAGCCCCGTGAGGCTCCCAAGAGGCCCCCGGAAGCCCCAACAGGCCCCGAAGGAGCCCCAAGGGAAGGCCCCAGCGGGCCTCCAAGACCCAGTAATTCAGGTTCCCAGAAAGCTTTCTGGGAACATGATTCCTTCGGCTTCCGCCCACCGCCCCAACCATGTTCCCAAACGGCCTGCCAGGAAGGCCTCCAGGGGCCCCCAGGTAAGCACCCAGCCAACATATCATGTCCCCAGAAAGCCTTCCCGGAATATGGTCGCCCCTTCCACGTTCCTCAAATACCTGCCGGGAAGGCCCCAGTGGGTCCCCAGATACGCCCCTTGAGGCCCCCAAGACAGCCCAACAAATCATGTTCCCGGAAAGCTTCCCGGGAACACGATTTATCGAGTTGCCGCCCTCCGCCCAAATTATGTTCCCTCGCTCGACAGGAAAACCCTCCGAGAGTCCCAAGCAGCGCTAGCTGCCGCCACGCTCGGAAAATGCGTGAGGCCCCGAAGCCCCCGGAGGCCCCCAAAGACACCCCAACAGATCATGTTTCCAGGAAGCCTCCCGGAAACATCATTCCTCAGGCTTCCGCCCCCGGCCCCAACCATGAGTCCCAAAATGCTTGCCGGGCAGCCCCCCAATGGGCCCTCATATACGCGCCCAGAGGCCCCCCAAGACAGCCCGACAAATCATGTTCCCAGAAAGCTTGCCGGGAGCATGATTCCTCAGGCTTCCGCTCCCCGCCCACACCATCTGTCCCCAAAATGCCTGCCAAGCAGGAACCGAATGGGCCCTCAGGTCTGTTCCTAGAGGCCCCACAATATAGCCTAACAAATCATGTTCCCAGCAAGCTTTCCCGGAACATGATTGCGCTAGCCGCCGCCCCCCGCCCAAATCATGATTCCTAAACGCCTACCAGGAACCACCCTCAGAGAGTCCCACGCACCGCTACCTGCCGCCACGCTCGGAAACGCCTCTGCGGCGGCCCATGCGATGCTGATGCGGCTGCTGCTACTGCTGATGATGATGACGACGATGATGATGGTGAATATGATGGTGATGATGGTGGTGATGATGATGGTGATGGTGTTGGTGATGGTGATGGTGATGGTGATGGTGTTGATGATGCTGACGACGATGGCGACGACCACGATGATGATGAGGATGATGATGATGATGCTGATGATAATGATAGTGCTGATGATGAGTATGATGGTGCTGCTCATGATGACGATAATGGTGATGCTGATGCTCATGCTGATTATGCTGCTGCTGATGATGATGCTGATGATGATGATGACGACGACGACGACAATGACGATGACGATAACGATGACGACGGTGAGGATGATCCCCCCAGGAAGTCCCAGGAGGTCCCCAAGGGTCCCCCAAGGGAAGCCATCAGATGCCCCCAGACATCCCAACATCATTTCCCCAGAAAGCTTTTCGGGAACATGATTTCTTATGCTTCCACCCCCCAGACCACCGGGAGGACGAGGACGAAGACGAGGGCGAGGTCGAGAAACAGGAGGGCAAGGAGTAGGAGGATGAGGAGGAGGCGGAGGAGGAGGGGGCGACAGGCGCTGCCCGCCGCGCACGCCGCGGCGCTCCCCGAGGGAGACGGGCGGAGAGACGGAATCGGACGGGAGGGAGGAAGAGGGAGAGGAGGAGGGGGGGAGGAGGAGGAGGAGGAGGATGAGGAGGAGGAGGAGGAGGAGGAGGAGGAGGAGCAGGAGCAGGAGCAGGAGCAGGAACGGGAGGGTCAGGAGGAACACGAGGAGGAGGAGAAGGAGGAGGACGACGAATAGGAGGCGAATGCCCGGACGGGGACAACGGGTTGACATGGGGGGTCGGGGCCACCCCAGAGGCTCCGAGCGCGCCCGATCGGCTCCAGACGCCCTCCAGACCAGCCCAAGACAGCCCAAGAATGCATTTGGGGCGCCCTGGGCAGGTTCCAATCCGCGCGAAGACGGCCCAAGGTTCCAGAAGCCTCCCCGACGCCCCGAGAGGACCCCCTAGGAAGGAGCTCGTGTTCGAGTGTTTGATATGTTGATGCGTTCTTGCTGTTCCTGGCTCCCAGCTGCCCTAGACAGGAAAAGAAGCCGTCAAGATCACCCCATGACGATTCAAGAAGCCCCCAAGAGAGCCCCAACACGGCCCAAAACAACTTCGAGACGGACGGCTCAAGAGACCCCCAAGAGAGTACAAGACGGCCCCAGGAGACCCCCAAGAAACGCCCCAAGGACGACGACACCGCCAGACAACCCCCAAAAGGCTCCCAAGAGGCCCCCCAGACCCCCCCCAGATGGTTCCCAAGGGCCCTCCGGTGCGTCCCATGGCGCTCTCAGGCGGCCCCGCGACCGCCCTGGACCCCGAGGCACCCCCCAGGAGGCTCCGCGCACCCGCGAGAGAAAGGCGGTGTACGCCTGGGATACCTGTCCCACCGTATCCTAGGGTGCTTGCGATGCCTGCGGACACCATTGTCGGAGTCGACTAGAACCTAAGCGCGCGAAGCGCGCGCGTGGTTCTAATACGTGTGTATATGTATTTATGTGTGCACTCATATATATATATAGTTTATGTAAATGTGTGGATATTTGTTGATTACTACGATTACTATTACTCACATATGTATAATCTCACTACGACTACGACTACAACTACGACTACTACTACTACTACGACGACGACTACTACTACTACTACTACTACTACTACTACTACTACTACTACTACTACTACTACTACTACTACTACTACTACTACTACTACTACTACTACTACTACTACTACTACTACTACTACTACTACTACTACTACTACTACTACTACTGCTACTGCTACTACTACTACTACTACTACTACTACTACTACTACTACTACTACTACTACTACTACTACGACGACGACGACGACGACGACGACGATTACTACTACTACTACTACTACTGCCACTATCACTCGTATGTGTAATATTAGTACTCTTACTCTTAATTATATTACCATATCCAAAACAACTAAACCAAACGGCTACTATTCATTTTCATATATTCAAAATTATCACACACATATTTCCAGAATATTCACGAATAAATCATAATACCCAAGACATACATACCATTTCTTCGAAATACTACATGACATATAGTTGTTTTTCTTGCTTTTCTTGCTTTTCTTGTTTTGGCTTTTTCGGCGAGCCGAGCCTGATGAACGAAGGGAACCCGCCAGGCGATCGCAAACCTGGATCAATGAGGCGTGGATTCGCGCCGGGTCCCGCTTCCATGGGAAATCGCGGATTTCCGCCGCCGAGCGAGGCGGCATTGGCCGCATTTTGGCGAGGGCACCTCCCCCGATCCATGGATTTGGCGACCGCGCGCCAAATCCATGGATCGCTAATCCATGCTTGCGCGCCCCCGCTAAAAGCCGTTCCAGAGCGTTCCGCAACGCTCTCAGAGCGTTCTCCGAGCGTTCCGCTCTGAGAAGGCCGCGGCGCCCGAGACGTCTTCCAGAGCCGCCAGATCTCAGAGGTCCTCGATTCATCCTCACCCGAATCTATCCTCGTCCTGGCTTCGTCTTAGCATGTTCGGCCCCCGCCTTCGTTGGCGTCGTCGGGCGTCGTCGGTTGCTGGTCGTCCGCAGTCGCAGTCGTCGTCATTCGACGTCGGCAGTCGTCGCCTGGCGTCGTCGTAATGCGTCGTCGGCGTCCGTCGTCGGGCATCGTCTGTCGTCATCGTCGGGCGTCGTCGTCGTCCTCTTCGTCGTCGTACTCTTCGTCGTCGTCGTCGTCGTCTTCGTCGTGCGTCGGCGTCGGCGGCGTCGTCGTCGTCGTCATTGTGTGTCGTTGTCGGGCGTCGTCGGGCCTCAGGCGTCGTCGCCGTCGTCGAGCGTCGTCCAGTTCGTCCAGCCCGCCTCCCGCTTGCGGCGCGGCCCCCGCCCCCGCCCGGCGCCTGCAGCCGCAGAGTGAGCCGGCAAGAGTCACGGCGGGCCGTCGAGCTCTGGGCCGAATGGCAAAACGAGGCATCAACACAGACTCTGGGGAGTTCCGCGCGGATTGCTTGGGTCGGCACTGGAACCTCTGGCGCCGCCTCGGGGGCAGCCCCCGGCGCGCCCCTGGAACGCCAGGGAACGGCGGGCTCTGGGCCACGTGTTTTCATGTCCCCGCGACGAGGAAGCGCTCTCGGGAATGCGGCCAAGAGCTCCCCGGGTCCAGGTCGTGAAGAACACGGCGTCGGAGGTCTGGTGAGGGAGCTGCGGAGGAGGAAAAGGTACCCATACGGCTACCCTTCCGTCGGTTTTCCCTTGGTTGCCCTCCTGGCAGGCCCGCGTCGCCACCGCCGGAGTCGCCCCGAAATTCTTGTCAGAGCGCACCCCCAGGTCACCAGGTCTGTGGAGTAGCGGTATCAGTACCCTTTTGGTTTTCCCAGAGTTTGGGAAGAGGGGGGGGGGGCGGAGGAGGATTTTGCTGCTGCTCCTCCTCTCATCATCTCTCCCGTGCCGATGCGACTTTGCTGTAGGTGTTGTTTCTGCTTCTTCTCCTTCGTTCCCTCCTCCTGCCCATCCACGCCCTACTCCACATGTTATCTGAGCAAAGGGGAGGGCACAACCCCCCTGACAGGCAATTTAGCTCCCGCCCAGACCAGCCATGAAAGGGCCACCTTTTGCCCAGACCCCTGGAACGCATCAAGACAGTTTAAGTCAGCCCCCCTTCCTTTTATGATGAAATCCGGAGTACCTCTCTCTCTCTCTCTCTCGGTTCCCCCCCGAAAATTTTCCCCCACCTCTTCCAGTGTCCCGACGGGCACAGGTGCAGCGGAGAGGCCCCCAGCCTCTCCGACGCACGGTTATGCACGCAGGCAGCTCATATCCACCGACACCATCAGCTTCCTCGTCGACCGCGTCTTCAGCAGCGAATCTGGGCCCGCCGCCCTTAGCTCCTCGCGGCGTCGTTGCCGCCGCTGCCTTCTCTGCCGCGGCTGCAGACTATCAGCCTCGCGTGGTTGTTTTCCGTTGTGCAGCGAAGACGCTGAAGTAAACACAACGTTCGGCTCAGAAGGAGCTGTGGTTTTCGGGCCAGTCCTTAGGTTCACTTCGTGGAACCTGTTCGTGACCGAGGCTAGCCTTAGCCAGGAAAGCTCCTTCGTTCCTTTTTCGGCGTGCCTTGCGGTATACCTAGCACGATGACTGTAAACTTCTGGAGGTCCGCGCGGACCTCCGGGAGGAAAGTGTGTGTGTGTGTGTGTGTGTGTTTGTGTGTCATCCGTCGCCTCGGCCTGCTGAGGCCGCCCGCCTTTCCTGCTCCTGGCCTTCCTGGCCTCACTGCCTTACTGCCCTGCACTATCCAGGAGCTGCCGTGCTTCCTCCCCCTGGTCTTCTGCCGTTGCAGCCAGCTCCACTGCACCACGCTTTTGGCCTCTTCAAGCCATTGTGCGCACCGCCTCCTTGTTCTCAGCAGGGGGGAAAAAACACACAGACACAATTCGTCGTCGATCCCCAGGAAAGTATGGGAAAATATGGGAAGTGGGGGGGAAGACGAACACCCCGAACATGAAAAGCATGGGGAAACCTGGGATTTGTGTGTTTGTTATATATAGATATACATATATATATATATAGAGAGATACATATATGTGAGTGTGTGTGTCTGCGTGTCCTTGGGCCCCTTCAGTCTCAGGATTTCGGAGCCGCCGTGCGGCCCGTGGGGGCTTGACATGGCGAGGCACGAGGCCCTGTGGCTGACCCGGGTCGGCGCGCCGACCCCGAGCAAGGCGCGTCCCCGGGAGATCTCTCCAGCGCTGGAGGCCCGGGTCGCCTTTGAGGTCGCCTTTGAGGTCCACAGCGTCATTCTGGCCTTGACGATGGGTGCCGTCAAAGCCCCCTTGAGGGGATGCGGATTCAATACTACATCAGAGCTGTGGAAGATGTTGGGCGTAAAAAAAATAGTTGCCTCGATGTCCCGTGTTCAAGACGTCCGTGTCAACACGTTGCGCGTTGGCTCCACGAAGTGGGGGGGGGAAGACGACCGCCCCGGATCGGAGGCTGGGCGGGTCGCCCTCGTCACGGGAGGGACGGCCACCCGGACCGGACAACGGTCGTTTGCTCAACGGCCTCGGGCGTTGGCTAAAAGCAGCTCTGCCCTGTTCGATGCCTGCTCTGGGTGCGTTTGCTCCACGGCCTCGCGTGTCGGGGTGGTTGTTATCGGGGCGGATTCCTCCACTTTGAGGTCGCAGGTGTACGGGCCGTTGCTTCCCTCGGCCTCCCACCCGCAGATTCGATGGCCGATAGCCGCCTGCTCCTCCCTTCAGTCTCGTTTCGCCGATCCCCATCCCCCATCCCCCTATCCCCTTCGGGACCCCCACCGAGTTACCCCCCCCACCCAGTTGGGGATACACCCCTCGAAACCCGAAGGGAACGACCTATATCCCCATCTGGGGTGGTAGATCGGCCAGCGGGGCCCAGGCCACGCCGCTGGGGATGGGGACCAGTTAAACGATACTCATCCCTTCCCTCTGCTATAGCGACCATGGGAGGGCGCAGTCATGGGTCCTGATGTCTTCTTGGCGCCGCCGCTGCAAGCCCTTAGGACTCGGTGCTCGGATGATCAGTTGTTGCGTGTTTGGTTTACGTGCTTGGCCTTATTGTGGCCTCTGGAGGCTCCTTTGGGCGACAGGGGACTGCGTTTTGTGCGCACGCGTGGTATCCGTCGTGCCAAGATCCTTTACGTGATCCTCGCTCTCGTCATGTTCCTTGCGTTGCGGCTGCTCATGCTGCTGCAACGGCGTTGCTGCTGCCGTTCCTCCTCGACTCTTCCTCCCCCCTTCATTTTCCGCTTCGCACCCTCGTCACTCTTGCTCCTGCGCAGCAGTCGCATGTCGTGTCGGCCAGTGGCGGTTTAGTATTCGCGCCTTTCCCCTAAGAAGAAACGCTTGTGGAAACATTGATCCTTCGGAGGTCTGCGCGGATTCTCTTGGATCAGCGACGGGCCCCTTGGCGGAGCCTCTGGCGCCGCCCCTGGCGCGCTCCGCCCCCCGGGGGGGGGGGGGTCCATCGCCGACCCAAGAAGGCCGTGAGGACCTCCGAAGGGGTCTCTTTCTGCAGTTGTTCCGCTTTCTTAGGCAAACCATGGGGGGCGAGACGCCAGAGGTGTCAGCAGCGGCATGATACGGAACACACGCGAGGCAAGCAAAGCAAACACAGCGCAACGACAGGAAAGGGCTTGGCGCGGCCAGGCGGCCGCCACCATTGCTGCACATCCTCCACCTGCTGACGCGCCTCCATCTCCTCTGCCTGGGATGGCTCTTTTTCTTATCTTTCGCCTCTGCTCACTCCCCCTCTCCCCGCCTGCCCCCCCCCTTGCTCTTCAGCTGCTCCTGCTGTGCCGGCCACCTCGACCAAAAGCGCGCGCCGCCCGCGCAGTGTCGTGAGCGCCGCCTGCAGCACCCTGTCCAGCATCGTCGACCACTGCTACGTGAAGGACCCCCGGCGGCCCTTCCTCGGCGAGCGGTGGCGCCAGCGCAGGGCACTATAGCAGTGCTCGAACACGGCAGAACGACGTGAGCAGAAAGGTGCACATATCCGCGGATCTCTCGGATCGGCGCTGGACACCCCAGGCGGGCTCTCCGGCGCCGCCCCCGCCGCGCTCCGCGTCCCAGGGAGGGGAGGGGTGTCCAGCGCCAGTCCAAGCAATCCTCACGAACATCCGAAAGTTTGAGATTGTCGCCGCTTTCTCTCCAACGCGCGGCTGGCTCTGGACAGCGCACGCGAAGCATCGTGTCAGAGGTGCAGCACTTGCGACAAGGAAGATGGCCATCCTGGGTGGCCCACGTTTCGGCCTCGGCAAGGCACGACAAGGCGAGGCGGGGTCCAACACCAAAACCAAAATGGCACGCGATGGTCCAAGGCAGCCTCCATTAAGCCTCCAAGAGGCCTCCAGACCGCCACGAGACGGCCCGAGGTGGCCACAGAGCCTCCCCAGGGTGACCCGGGAGACACCAAACATTCAAAACCGTGCGTGTGTTTCAAAGGATCGTGGCCTTGACGTTCTGTGTCCCCAGTATAGCCCCAAAGACGGGCCCAGGAGGGCCCCAGATGATCCCAACAGAGGCCCCGAAAGAGGCCCCGAGAGAGCCCCGGGCCCCTCCGAAGCATCCGTGGCTCAGGCCTCCCCATCTCTCCAGTCTGCCACCCCTGCCGACCGCCAGTGTGCCCCTCACCCGCACGCGCAGGCGCCGAGTGCAGCGATGCCGGCCGACGGCTCCGAGCGGGCGCCGCTGTGGGCGGCGGAGGCGGGGGACTCCCCTGCGCCTGGGGGCCCGACCGCGGCCTGCGCGGCCCCAGGCAAGGAGGGCAACGTTAGGGGGGGGCATGGGCTCGGGGGGGCAACGTCAGGGGGGCAACGCCAGGGGGGGGGGGGGGATGAGCTCAGTGGGGGGGGCATTGACCCTCACTCGCCCACTGATGCCAAGGGAGAAACAACCAACTGGCGTCTACGAAACGGCCCTGGGCGTTTACTAAAAACAGCTCTGCCCTGTTCGATTCCTTTTTTGGGTGCGTCTGCGAAACGGCCTCGCGTGTCAGGGCGGAAATTCTCGGGGTGGATCCTCTGCCCTCTATGATCCCTCAGATCCGACGTCGTGTTTTTTTCAATACGGAGTCCCCAGATGTCTCGACCCCTTCCCGGGGACCGGTTTCTCATCCTGAGCCGTTTTTCTTGACGGCCCTGGGGCCCGGCGAGGACCCCTAGAGGCCGTAACAGGCGAAAAACCGCCGTCTTGATTTTTCCAATATGTTGGATCTCTATGATCGCCGAGCCACGGGCGTGCCGAGAGTCGCGCTCGGGGGCCGATCGCCGACCTCTCGGCGACGGAGAGCCGAGTGCAGGTCGCGAGGCGACCCCCCCCCCGGAGCCGCTCTGCCCCTGCCCTGCTCTCGGGGGAGGGCCGCCCGAGACAGCGGCGGCTCTCCCGCCCGGCAGAGATCGGCTCCAAATCGATCCCTGGACTTTCGTCGGGCCCGTCCTCCTGCCGGGGGGATTTTGGGTGAAGAGTAAAAAGTAGTCCAGACATGCCACCAAATGATTAAAGATACCAAAAAAAATCGTCCCCAGAGCATTTCCTTACTATTTTTGATTGCTCCTCATGTAGAGGGACAGGCCCGACTCAACCCTGGACCCCTGCCGGAGTCCATCCTGATCCGTGTTTCGACGCGGACCTAGCCGTGGCGACGGGAAGCCCCGGTCCGTGGTCTCGACGAACCCCCCCGTCCGGCTTTTGATCCTCGTCGTTTCGGCCCGCGTGCCCGAACTCCTCCTCCTCCTCCTCCTCCTCCTCCTCCTCCTCCTCCTCCTCCTCCTCCTCCTCCTCCCCCTCCCCCTCCCCCTCCCCCTCCTCTCCCTCCTCTCCCTCCGGAGACCGTCCGGGACGGGCCAGAGTGGTCCTGGCGAGGCGCGGGTGCTGAAGAGCACCCCGAGGCTGGCACGCGGCAGAGCGGCCACGACAGCGTCATGATGCCTCCCGAGTCCCCCCCCTCCCCTGCAGGGCTCATTCCGATTCCTCCGATTCGAGTCGGTTCGGTTTCGATGGCATTCGATTCCGAGTCGCTTCGGCTTGGGATTCCGATTTGGGGTTCCGTTTTCTCACTGGAGGCATACTCGCTTGCCGAGGTCCGCCGATTCGACTTGTACCGACTCGGCCGCCGATTTCCGGCGATCCGATCACGTCGATCGCCGAGCCGATCTTGGCCCCCCCCCTGCCTCGACTGGCCTTCCTCCGATCTGCCCCCGCAGTTCCCCCATCATTCGAGTAGGGGATCCACCGCGGAATTGACTTACCCCGACATTGATTTCCTCGCCGGAGCTGCGAACGAATCTGTAGAATGCCCCGCAGAGCTGCGAACATTCCACACGCGTTTCCTGCAGATCTGGCGAGAAGATCCCTTTCGGAGCAGAGCAGTTCCGTACAGTCGGGGCCCTGAAGAAGGAACCCTTTTCGTTGGGGAGGGGCTCCGTGTTCCTTAATTGTTTCGCAGCTTGCCTTAGATTTTCCTTAGGTTTTCGATGCGAAATCGAAGTTCAACTTATGGAAAATAGGGGCCTCGTTCCTTATTTAGGATTCCTTAGGTCGACGCCTCGACTGTAGTCCACCCCCTACCCGCATCACAGGCGGCCGGCTCGCGGCCAGCGCGGCGGTGGCCGGTGCCCTCGGGCTGCTGGCCGCGGCCGCGCTGGCGCTCCGCTGCGCGGGGAGCGCCGCGGGGCTCCACGGGCCAGTCGCGGGCGTCAAGGCCGTGGCGGCAGAGGCGGAGGCCAAGGAGCCCGGCGTGGTGCCGAGGGAGGGCGCGCAGGAGCCCGAGGGGGAGGCCACGGCTCAAACATTGGCGGAGCGTCCTGGCTCGCCTGATGATAGGGCCACCAAAGGCCACCAAGGAATGTTCTGGGAACCTCTTGTGGTCCCCACGGCATGTTCTCGGAGCAGTTCTGGCTCAGGCCGTCTTGTTTTGACACATCGGGCGTGTGTTTTCAGAACCGTGCTTCTGTTCTTCGAGCAGTTTGGGGGGTCCTGGGAACATAGCGGTAGGCCTATAGGAATGCCGGGACGGCCCATCCCTGCTCACACGGCGCCGGCATGGGTCGCCGGAGGTTCCGCCTCGCGCCCCGCCCCGCAGGCCGAGGCGGAGAGAGCTGCAGGTGGCAGAGGAGCGTTCGGCGCTCTGCGCGGACACCTCGGGTCGGCACGGGGCCCCCCTCTGTCGGCACGGACGAAGTGGGCACTCCAGATTTCGTAATAAAGGGAGGGGGGTCTCATTTCGGGGGGGGGTCTCTTCCAGGCTATCTTGGAGGGCCTGGGGGGTCTGGGGACGATGTTTTGGAGGGTTGTCCCACGGGTGAGGTCTGAAATGGCTTGTCTTGGAGGGTCCAGACCCCCTCCCTTTTATTACGAAGTCTGAAGTACGGGAAGAAGGGGTGCAGTGCCCAACAGCCTTTCCTGTTCATTTTGGACAGGACTCGCCGTCGGTGTCGCCGCGGCCTGTGTCAATTTGGGGCAGAGGGCCACCTGCCCAACAGTGGCCGCGGTTGGTTTGGGACAGCATCTGTTGTTGGGCAGTGTACCCACTCTTTCCGTGCCCCTTTTTGGGGCGTCCAAGCTCTGGGAGTGTATGCTCATGCGCAGCTTGCTGCTCCTCCAGGGCAGCGGAGCTTTCCACAGCCCCCCGCCCCTTGGAGCGGAGCGGCACGCTGTCCGTTTGTTTTAGGTCGGGCGCGTCCTCCTGCAGGCGGATTTTGGACGAACATTTAAACAACAAATTAGACATATATTATAATAGTCAAAGAATGCCCCAAAAAGTTCGACCCCATATTGTTTTTGGACTACTTTTGAATTTCCTCCTGTAGAGGGACACGCCCGACTTAAAACGCTTGCACGGCATGGCGTGCCGCCGGGGCCGCCGCCGCGGCACGCTGCGCAAAAGCCCCCGGCCGCAATTAGTATGCAGCGGACCTCTGTTGGGGACCTCTGTTGGGTCGGCGCCGGGCCCCGCTGGCGGCGCCGCCTCCGAAGACTCATGGCCCGCATCGTTTGATGGGCGTGTTTTCCACCACCACCACCACCATAAGTTGGAGGGGGGGTCCTCCTCCTCCTCCTCCTCCTCCTCCTCCTCCTCCTCCTCCTCCTCCTCCTCCTCCTCCTCCCCCTCCTCCCTCTCCTCCCCTCCTCCTCCTCCTCCTCCTCCTCCTCCTCCTCCTCCTCCTCCCTCCTCCTCCTCCTCCTCCTCCTCCTCCTCCTCCTCCTCCTCCTCCTCCTCTTCGTCCTCCTCCTCCTGGCCCTCCTCCTCCTCCTTCCCCCCTCTGACTTATTGTGGTGGTGGAGAACAGGCTCATCATCGTTGCATGATGGTCAGGGGCGGAAGAGGGACGCACCTGGAGATCCAGCACATCGAACAAAATCAAGGCGGAGGTTTTTCGCCCCTTTCGGTCTCCAGAGGCCCTCGCCGGGCCCCAAGACCGTCGCAAAGCGACTCAGGATGAAAAACCGGTCCCGGGGAAGGGGTCGGGACCTCTGGGGACCCCGTATTGAAAAAATCACGACATCGGATCTCTGGGCACACGTACATGACTTCGCGCTGTGTATGGAAGCACGCAGTGCGCGAGCGTCCGCAACACGAGGCTGGTCTCGCGCATCGGGGGGCCGTGTTCATGTAGTTGGGAGTGTACGTCCTGCTGCAGGCTCCCGAACTCGACGGCGAGGCGGGGGGGGGGGGGGAGTGAGAGGGGGCGGGCCTTCGCAGAAGGCTCGGCAGTCCCTCGGCCTTCGGAGAAGTTCCCCGAGCCTTCCCCGAAGACGCAGGGAAACTCCTCAGAGGGCGCGAGGGCTTCTGAGGAGTCCCGCCGCCTTCCGAGACGGCCTCCTCCTCCTCGCTCCCCCCCCCCCTGCTCGCCGCCGAGGAGCAGACGGGCGGGCGCGCGGGCAACGGGGCGGCGTCGGGCGCGCCGCCGGCCGAGCCGTGCGCGTGGAAGGGCGAGGACTGCACGCGGTCTCACTGCTGCCTGGACGGCGGCGATGGCGGCTTCCAGTGCTACCAGCGCGACGACGATTGGGCCGTGTGTGAGGAGTCGTGCGAGGAGGGCGAGCGCGAGGAGGACGAGATCGCGGGCTACACCGAGCACGGGGACCCTTTCAAGCTGGCGTGGAACTGCAAGAGGCTCGGGCTTCGCTCTGGGCCTGGCTGCGAGGCGTTGAAGAAGAAGACGTGCCCTGAGGACAGGTGCCAATGGAAGTCTGGCAAGTGCAAGTCCCCATGCCACACTGTCTCCGACGACGAAACGTGCAACTCCGAGGAGGAGTGTACCTGGCATGCCGAGACCTGCAAGGATGTCTGTTGGCTCTACGAGAAGGAGGATGACTGCGCCTCCAAGGAGAACAGGGATCGGTGCCAGTGGAAGGGCAACAAGTGCGTCCCTGGCTGCTGGACCTTCTTTGATTCGGAGAGCTGCCAGACCGGGGATCAGTGCATCTGGCACCCACAGGGACCCGTGCCTGCGGGCTTCTGCGAGGAGGATCCTTGCTCTTCTCCCGTGGAGGACTGCACGAAGACAAGATGCTGCAGTGAGCAGCGGGGTGCTGGTGGCCTGACCTGCTTCCAGAAGGACAAATTCTACGCAAGTTGTGACGCGAACTGTTCCAAGGAGAAGAGGAAGCAGGGCTGGACGTGCAAGATGCTGGGGGGCCTGGTCAACAAAACGGACTTGCGCTGCAATTGGCCGGGAGACTCCTGCTCCAAAACCAACAGGTGTTGCAAAGCAGGTGACTCGTGTATGGTGAAGGAGGAGTATTTCACGGGATGCGTTCAGACCCACCAGTTTGGCATCCTTGAGGGTGGTGGAACCGCGCTGATTCCAGTGGACCTTCCGGATGGCTGGCCGGCGGACCCTGAATTCAAGGGCGGTTCGCAGATGGAGTACGAGATGCAGCGCGCAGACGAGGGAGCTACGGCGGGGACTGATATGTATTGTGTCATGGCCTATCTGCCAGGATCGTACGAGGAGCACTTGATGGAGCTGGCAAAGGCGAACGAAGCGAGCATCTTTGCGTGCGACGCAGCAGACGTCTACCATACCCAGGAGTCAGGCTATGCAGAGTGGGACACGAAGGATACGACGTTGCAGAACACGGATGTTTTCATCGGCGTCTGGAACCAGATCAAAAAGATTGGGAAATTGTGGTCCTACACATGGACTGTAAAAGTGGACCCAGACGCTCTGCTGGTGCCAGCACGCCTGAAGTTGCACGTGGGAAGCCTGATGGTGCCCATGGGGAAGCCAGTCTACGTGAAGAACAATGACTTGCCCGCCTCCCAGGGCAACGGTGGTTTCCTTGGGGCGGTGGAAATGTTCTCGCGGGAGGCCCTCGAGCTTTACTACAGGTGGTGGCCGGAGTGCAAAGAGCACCTCGGGGTGAAATCGGGAGAGGATGGCTTCATGAAAGGGTGCATGGATGCCTTGGGTGTCGGTTACGTGCTGGACGCCACTATGTTCAAGGCGGACGACAACGTCGCAATCTGCAAGATGGGCCAATGGGCGGCATACCACCCCGTGAAAGACCAAAAGCTTTACCAGTGCTGCATCGACATCGTCAACGGCGAGGACCGTGAGACCGAGTGGGGCAAGTGCTCTGGCTTGCCGCACGACTGGGCCACAAAGATCTGGCCCGAGGCCACGGAAGATGGCATGGAGCCGAGATGGAGGTGGAAGGAGCACGACGAGTAGGTTGACCTCCTCGTGAGGTGTTCACTGATTGGTGATGGGCACTTCTCGGATCACAGAACTCGAAGTAGTTTTGTGTGCAGGCGTGCCATGCCGGCGCCTGGCTTTTGTCCATGTGTGTCGAGCACTGCTTCCAGTAATTTGTTCATCGGCATGCCGGTGCGGTCTTCGTGGCGCGGCGACCATTCTACCATGGCCTCTCTCCGTGGCGTGTCCCAGGGCTGCTACTGACGGCAGGCATGGCCTTGCCGGCCGTCTGAATTTTCTTGGACGCGGGGCGTCACGACAATTTTCTCACGATGTCCTGAATGATCTCGGTTCGACCAGTGCTGCCCCTGGGGGACCTGAGTGAGCTCGGTTCGAGCAGGGCTCCATACGCAAAGGGGACACGGTGGATTTTGGAGCTCCGTTTTGGCACGCCTTGCCCAAACGCATTTTTGTTGGGGGCGTTTTTTTTGTTTTTTTTTTTTTTCTCTCTCTCTCTCTCTCTCTCTCTCTCTCTCTCCCTGCCTACATAACTTTCCCCTCTCTCTCTACATCCCTCTGCCCTCGCCGTATCCTACCCTGTCGCTCATCATAAAACTCTCATCATCCCTCTGCTGTCCTTCCCTCTTTCTCCTCCTCTCACTCTTCTCTCCCGCCTCCTCCGCTCCGCCCTGCGGCCGAGGCAGGCCGGAGGACGAGCAAGAGGAAGGGAGGAAGCGAAGGGATGATGACGATGATGGTGGTCATGATCAGAATCGTTTTTGGTGATTGGTAGGATGGTTGGGGAGGAGGGCAGGGTGAGGGGAGACCATGGTGAGAGCTGAGGAGGAGGAGGACGGTCGAGTCCTCCTGCGCTTGCCTCCTCATCAGTCCTAGTAGTCAGCGCTCCTCTCGGTGCTTCTCATCGTCACGCCTCGTCCTCGACCCTGCTCCTCAGCCTTCTACCATACGTTCATCCCACACGATTGCCCCCAACCTGTCTTCTCATCCATCATCATACTACTCATCCTTTCTTCTCCCCCTCTGCTCCTCCATCCCCCTCCAGCTCGACGTTCCGTATCGACCCTCCTACTAGATTATCCTCCGCAACTTGCCTCAGACCACCTCCCCTCTACCGGCTTTTTATTTCATCATCCACCTCCTGCCCCCCCATCCGTCTTATTCCGGCTTCTTCCTTTTGTTCAACCCGCGCGTGCGCGTGTGTCTATGTGTGTTACGCGGGCGCGCCCTTACTCAAACATGTTTCCGCTTGCGGACATGGGTTATAGGAAGCAGCGCCGAAGGCAGTGTATTCATACGTGTCGTAATCTCAGGCGGCCCTTGAGATGTTCCGGCGCGGCAGCGATCCACCGAGCACGATACGAGCAAAAATAAGCCCCTGCTTCTCCACATTACCCAACCCTACTATGCGACCATCTTTCTCAACGTTCTCCTCAGCCCCTCCCTCGAGGTGATGCGGAGGGTCGAAGCTAAAGGTTCAGGAGAAAGATGAGATGTGAAGAGGGTGGTTGAAGCGGAAGGTTGGACAGAAGGTTTGGTGATGAGTGCTTATGGTGGATGATTGGAGAGTGGCCGGCGTTGGAGGGGATAGGCACGTAGGATGAGGGTTGATAGTGGTTCAGTCCTCCTGCTTCTGCCTGCTCACCAGCCCAACCTCGTCAAATTTCCTCCGCTATGCTTACCACACCTCCTCATCAACCCTCATGCTCAACCATCCTCATCTCCTCCTCCGACACCTTCATCCTCAACCTTCCTACCAAACCTTTCTTTATCAACCCTTCTCCTCAACCCTCCTTCCCAACCATCCTTTTCCTCCTCCTGTCTCCTCCCGTCCCCTCTCTTCCTCTCTCTCCTCCTAGATCACCTTCCAACTCAACATTCCTCACCGATCATCCTACGAAAGCCCCTTCTCCCCAACATTTCTCCAACGGTCTCCCCAACCCTCCTATTCGTCCTCCCTCCGCATCCCATTGTCCCCCTGACCCCCACATTCAAACACTGAGCAACAATCCTGCTTGCTAAACACGTTTCAATAATCCTCATCTTGACCAGTTTTGCCAAAGTTTCCGCCTCAACCCTCACTCTTTAACCCTATTTATTCCTTCACACTCGATCCTCCGTATCACCCCCTGGATGGCTGAGGAGGGTGAGGAGGGAAACGGAGGAGGGATCGGCATAAGCGTTTGGGAGGAGGGTGGAAGAGGACAGTTGTGGACGGGCGTTGCGGAGGACGGTTGATGAAGAGGAAGGAGAGACAGGCGAAACATCGAATGATATGAGCGTTGGGGAGGTGGGTTCGGGAAGGTTGTGGAGGTTCATCTCGTGGCAGGGTTGATGCGCAATGTGGAGTTGGGGGTATGGTTGGGGGATGAGGGTGAGACAGGACAATGATGACGATTGGGAAAGAGAGTTGCCGAGAATAGTGTGGGATTAATGCTTGGTAGGAAGGCTGAGGGTCTAGCGTCGAGGAGACGGCGGGACGATGCCGAGGGCACGGCCGGACAATGGCAAGGAAGGTTAAGCAGGAGGGGTAATGATGATAATGATGAACATGATGTTTCTGTTTATGCTAATGTGGATGATGGTACTGGTGCTGGTAATGATGCTGCTGATGCTGATGATGGTGGTGCTAATGGTGTTAATGTTTCTGATGTTGCAGTTGCCGTTGTCGGTGATCATAATGGTGCTGCTGCTGCTAATGACGGTGATGATGTTGATGGTGATGTTGCTTCTGAGGATGGTGAGGATAAGAATATTACTTTTGGGTTTGGGCTTTAGGGTTTCGTCACTTGCTTAGACCCTGGGGTCCAGCAGAGTTGTGTCCTACGCGCATGCAGGCTGGACCTCGCTCTTCCCTGAGGGGCTGCCACTTGAGCAGTTGCCGCCGTTTTCGTGGACTCCTGGGGGCCCAGCGGCACTGAGCCCTTCGCGCATGCACACGAGACCTCGCAGCTTCATGAGCGCCTACCATCTGCGCAGCCGTCGCCACGTTCGTGGCTCTTTGTGGGTGGTCAATTGGAGAGGTGTCGTACGCGCATCCAAACGTGACCCTGCAGCCCCCTGAGAAGGAGGAGGAGGAGGAGGAGGAGGAGGAGGAGGAGGAGAGGAGGAGGAGGAGGAGGAGGAGGAGGAGGAGGAGGAGGAGGAGGAGGAGGAGGGGGAGGGGGAGGAGGAGGATGAGTAGGAGGAGGAGGAAGTGGAGGAGGTCTGCCACCTGCGCAGTCATCGCCGCGTTGGTGGGGTCCCGGGATGCCCTGAGGAACGGCGGCCTGCAAGCATCCACGAGAGACCTCGCGGCCCAACGGCTCCCTGTGTCCGTCGGCGTCAGGCATTACAGGCTAAATGAGTCAGGCGATCGCAAACATGGATTAAGGGGGCGTGGGTTAGCGAAGGGTTCCGTTTCCACAGGAAATCGCGGATTTCCACGCCGAACGAGCCGGCACCTCCCCGGATCCATGGATTTGGCGACCACGCGCCAAATCCATAGATCGTTAATCCATGTTTGCGCGCCCCCGAATGAGCATGCAGCAGATGACCCTCCTGAGGATATCTTCCAGGATGGACCGCGCCCTCTGTTGACTATTCTTAAGTCGGGCCTGTCCCTCTACAGGATGAATATGCAAAAGAAGTCAAACAAACCGTCGAGGGGACTATTATTTCATTGCCGTTGGTTTGACGATTGTGGGGTATTTTTTGAGTGTTTCCAATTCTCGTCCCAAATCCGTCTGTAGGGGGGCACGCCCGACCTAAGACTATTCATTATTTGTTGGTTTGGGCCTGTTGAAGGTGCCACGTGTTGCGGATGGGTTGGGTACATTCCCTGGTAATCATTCCTCGCGGCCCCGGGAACCAACCCGAAGGCCCCCAGCGGGGTCGATCATTGGCGGGAAGCGCGTTGGGATGTCTTGTGGCAAGAGGTTTGCCAGCGCGGGCCCTGATGCGCGGGATCTTGCTCCGCATGTGCAGCATGCGCATGATGAAGCCCACGTGTTGCCACCTACATGGTGCAGTCGCAGTACGCGTGGTGCAGCACATTCGATTCAAGATGCGTGGTGGACGCTATGGGATGCGTAATCGGAGGCGCTTGCTGCGAACCCCCGCCGCCTCCTGCATTTTGGAAACGCTTAACTTCTGCGGCCAGACGGTGGGCCGACGTCTTGCCAAGCTATTGGGCAGTGCTTTCCCTGAGCAGATGTGGAAACCCTTGGGGGAAACTCTTTGGGGAGAAAGAAGATGAGGGAGCGGAGGAGGAGGAGGAGGAGGAGGAGGAGGAGAAGGAGGAGGAGGAGGATGGGGGGGGAGGGGGAGGGGGAGGAGGAGGAGGAGGAGGAGGAGGAGGAGGAGGAGGAGGAGGAGGAGGAGGAGAAAATGGAGGCCTCTCGAGAGCATGTTGAGACCTCCTGGGTGCTTCCTTGGGGCCCCTCGGGGGCCTCTGAGGGCATCTTGCAGGCTTCTCGGGGTCTCTTAGGGGCCTGTATGGCAGCCGCTTGGTCTCCGGAGGCCGTCTTGGGGGCCTCGCTGGACCCTCGTGAGACGCTTTCAGGCCACCTTGGAGGTCTCTAGGGCCGTTTTGGGGCCGTCCTGCGGGCCTCTTGGCCATTTTCGGGGCCGTCTTGGAGGCTTCTTGCGCCGTCTGAGCCGAAGCCCGCGCTCTAACGTGAGCATCGTTTTCAAGGAATACGTAGGCCACGCTTGAACGCAAGCGCTTCATCAATCGTCCCCAGAACAACAACAATCATTCTCTAGAAATGAGTGTTCACTATAGTCCCAACTAAACGAGCCCACGTCGGGCACGCGCCCTGGAATGGTGTAAGACCGTTCGGCCCCCTCACTCTGACCATGGCCCCCTGCAGTTGCGGATACGAATGAAGGGGCGGGAGGGGCGGTTGTCGGCAGCCTGCGAGGCTCGCAAAGGAAGTTTGGAGAAGCCCGCCGCAGGCGCTGTGGTTCTGCGCCGTCTGAGCAACGCGGGCGGGTCGCGAATGGGTTGCGCGTGGGTCGAGGGCGGGTCCTGGTGCATCGCGGCGGGGTCGGGGGGGGGGAGGTCGCGGGCAGGTCGTGGGCGGGCCGCGGGCGAAGGCGACGACCAGCACGACCATGGCGACCACGACACTCCGCACCGCGGAGGCCCACGACAGCCACGCACCCGGGGACCACGCACGATCGCACGGCGCCCCCTGGTCTGATAACGAGTCAGCCTCGCGGAGGGATCTGTGAACCCCAGCTTCGGCAAGGGACCGGGCCTGGTTCCCTTCGGGAGAAGGAGCCTCCCTCGGGACGGCCGAACTGGGTACGGAGCGAATGGGTGCGATGCCCCACAGCAGCGCCGGTTCATGCTGAACAGGACTCGCTGCCCGCGCCGCCGCGGACGTCCTCTCCGAAGACACAGAGCCGCCTGCCCAGCAGCAGCCGCTGTCGGTCTTGGACTACACTTGTTGCTGGGCACTGTGCCCACTTCTTCTCCGTGCCCCTCTTCGGGTGTCCGAACTCCCTGGCCGCGATTCGCATGCGGGCGCCTGCAGGGAGAGATCCCGCAGGACCCCGCCGTGCGCCACAAGCCGCCGGGAGGAGGCGCCCACGGGCGCCCTCTGGCCGAGAGGCCTGCAGGCGTCGACCCAGTGCTCAGACGCAGCAGGAGACGTCTCTGGCACAGGCGCTGTGGGGGGGGATTGATTCGACCGGGAGGAGGAGGCGGAGGAGGAGGAGGCGGAGGAGGAGGAGGAGGCGGATGAGGAGAAGGAGGCGGAGGAGGAGGAGGAGAAGGAGGAGGAGGATGAGGAGGAGGGAGGCGGAGGAGGAGAAGGAGGTGGAGGGGAGGAGGAGGCGGAGGAGGAGGTGGAGGACGAGGAGGAGGAGGAGGAGGCGGAGGAGGAGGAGGACACCCTTCCGTGTGTTCGCCTCCAGGACCAGAGCAACGCTTCCTTCCGGGCCAGCACCCCGCTCATGTCCCCGGTCGCGCCGCCTCCGCCGCCGCCCGACCTCGGCGACGAGGGCGTCGTGAACGTGGGCGACGACCTCGTCAACGAGGCGTCGGGGCCTCTCGACGGGCGGACCCGATGGGCTTGTTTTCCACCAGCACCACCACCACCACCAGAAGTTGAAGGGGGGAAGGAGGTGGAGAAGGAGGAGGAGGAGGAGGAAGAGGAGGAGGAGGAGGAGGAGGAGGAGGAGGAGGAGGAGGACCCCCTCCCCCTCCTACTCATGGTGGTGGCGGTGGAAAACAAGCCCACCAGGACCCCCGTACCCGCTGCCAGGCTTCTGGCGGATTCGCTATAGATCTAGGTGCCTGCAGTCAGTATGCAGAGTGATCAGTCCCACTCCGTGGGGTAGCAGCTGCTTTCCTTTGCTTGCCCCATCACAGCGGTGGGGCCCCCCAGCCGGCAGGGTGGACAACTGCATAGACGTAGCTTCCCGGTCGCTTCTACAGTCAACCCGCACAGCAAGGATGAGCGATTTTCCAAGGCTGCCCTGGCATGTTTGCCTCCTCGCCCCATCCCTGGCAGCTTCCGGTGGCCGGCCCCGCTCCGAAAAACGCCCACGTGGTTTTCCAAGGCCCTTGCGCGCCCACCGCGCAGCCTCGCTGTGCGGGCCGACTGCAGTTGCGAGCCCAGCGCTGCATCCGAGCCCAAGCCACTCCAGACCGATCCTGCCGACGCGGGGCGTCTTCCCTTCAACTTCGGCCTCCGGGCCAGTCTGACAGTCTTCGGGGCCTCGGGGCCGTTCGGAGGGGGCCGTCCGGACGAGGCGCCCCGGCCCCGCGGAGAGGGTGCGGAGCGCCCTGGGGCCCGCGGACCACAGAGGAACAGTCCGTCAGTCGAGAGCCTGGGCCATCTCTCTCGCCTCCGCTCTCCTCGTCTCTCCTGCCCCCTTCGCTTGAAGTCGGGCGTGCCCCTCTATAGAGGAGGAACGTCCAGGAATAATAGAAAATAGTCTGGGGACGATTTTCGAATTGGTGTTCAGTTTTTCTGTGCACTTCTTCACTATCTTTTAAACTGTTCGCCCTCAATCCGCCTGCAGGGGGACATGCCCGACCTAACCTTCGCTCCACAAGCTCACATTCTGAGTACGTTGGGGGGGCGTTCGTGAAGGAGTGTGCCCAGGGGGCTTCAGACCCTGGAGGCTTCCGTATCTATGGCCTTCGGCCCATCTCGCCACCCTGCTTGGGTTGTGGGTATGAAGCCTATTGGATGTGCGTTGGGATCTCGTGGGAGGCCTCTCGGGTGCCTCTTGGAGGCAGTTTGGGGGCCTCTTGGGGGCCGCTTTGGGGCCTCTTGGGGCCTCTTTGATGCTTACTTGGGGCCTTTGTGGGCCTCCTGGGGGCGAGGCCTCGTGGATATTCGTTGGGATATCGTGAAGAGCCTCTCGGGGGACTCTTGGAGACCGCATGCTGAGGCCAATTAGCGGAGCGACGTTCCGCGAATCCGACGCGAAGCACTCCGGGCAACGCAGGTTCGGCGCACATGCTTCGAGGCCAATTAGCGGAGCGGCGCTCCGCCAATCCGACGCGGACCGCGAATCGCACGCGTTGAGGCGGATTGGCGAAGCAGCGCTCCGTTTGTCCGACTTGGAGCACTCCGGGAATCGGCGCGCACTCTTTGAGGCCAATTAGCGGCGCGGCGCTCCGCCAATCCGACGCGGAGCACTCCGCGAGTCGCATGCTTTGACGCTGATCAGCGGAGCGGCGCTCCGCCAATCCAACGCGGAGCCGTTTGGCATGCTCTAAGGCCGATTAGCGGAGCGGCGCTCCGCGAATCCGACGCGATGCACTCCGAGAATGTGGATCTGGGCCCCGTAAAGATTGCTCAGCGACCAGGACTGAGGCTCAGGGGATGAGGCAAAGGGCCCGGGGCCCGCTCCGTGTCCAGAGGCACGGTGGCGGGTCTAGTTCAGGGCGGCGGTGGTTCCCATGGCGAACCCACGGTTGGAGTTTCTCCGGCTTCAGACCCTGGGTTCTTTATCGAAATGTCAAATCTAAGGCCTTCACCGTACTACTCTCCTCTCCAGACCCTGTGCAGAGGATGTACGGCCTTCTCCGCGTTTCTTCCAAACATGAGTTCCACAGTTGTTTTGTGGTTGTGTTTTGTTTGCCATTCGATTGTTTCCCGCGTTCCAAAACTGGTGTTCATGCTGCAGCTTGGGCCTCATTTTCGGATCGTCGCTGTGCTCCCGTCGTTTAGACTGGCGCTCACGCTCCAACACTGGCCCCCCCTTTCTGGATCCGAATCTCTTGTCATCTTTGCCGCCCCCCTCATTTCCCATCCTTCGCCTTCCACTGGTCCTCCTGCTCCTGCCACTCATTCCACTCCAGTTCCCGCTGCTGCTGTAAGTCCTCGTCCTCCACTTTCGTCCTTCTCCTCATCCTCCTCCTTCTCCTTCTCCTCCTCCTCCTCCTCCTCCTCCTTTGCCTTCTGCTCATCCTCCTGCTCACCCGCCACCTGCTCCTCTCCTCCTCGTCCTCCTCGTCCTGTTCCTCCTCCCATTCCTCCTCCTTCTCCTCCTCCTCCTCCTCCTCCTCCTTCTCCTCCTCCCTCGCCCGCTATGTACCCAGCTCCGATTGCGCATAGCACTACGGGGTCTGTTTTGGAGTTCCAGGCCGGCTATGACACGCGTCCGCGGATGGAGCAGAAACCAGCGCAATAGGAAAGGATGGGAGGCAGGGGTAGGATGTCAGACCCGGCGCGAGCGCACCTAGCTTGCCATCCCCCCTCGCCCTCCGCCTCCCTCCGACACCCCCCTCCTCGCGCCACCCCATCCCCCCCCTTCTTCTTTCCCCTCCTCGCCCCTGGCCCTGCCTTAGACTCTACACCGCGTGCCTCCCCCCCTCCCACGCCTGGCATCCGCCGACGTGCGTTTCTTCCAGTCCGCGGCGGCCGCGACGCCTCCCCTGGCAAGGGGGGATAGGTTTTCGGCCCGGATCCGTTCTTGATGGTCCCGGCGCCCGAGAAGGGGCCCCTGAGCCGGGGGCGGCCAAGAGGGGGGTGATGACTAGGGGTGGGTGGGTACCATGGCGGGGGCCATGACATCTCCCCAGATTTCATGGCGCCTCTTCTTATTTCATCACGTCCCCGGCCCCCCCCCTTGGGCCGCGCACGTGCCGCCGGCCATGACGTGCGCCCCCCTCTCTTGGGACGCCCCCCTCCAGTCTTGGCCGCCCCCGACAGAGGCCGAAAGCGAGGAACAGCGCAAGGATCGCGTGCAGGCTTTAAGTCGGGCGTGTGCCTCTACAGGGGGGATATTCCAGAATAGTCAAGACAAGTGTCGACGATGTTCTAGTATTTTTTGGTTTCTTTTGATTCTTCTTACAAACTCCGCCTGTAGGGGGACATGCCCGACCTAATGCCAGGCCCTTGCATCCTCACCGCGGCATTTCGTCGGAGTACCCTAGGGCTCTTCGCTCCGCAAGCTGCGCGGTGACTCCCCGGCCGTTGAAGGAGCTGGTGCATTCGGGGTGATCAGGGTTTCCCCGCTGGTGCACTTCGCGCGCAGGTTTTCAGGGTTGGGTTTCTTGCGAGGGGTTCTTGCGGCCGCGCCCGCACTGAACCGCGCATCCTTATCATGCGTATGTTTCAGTATTTCTGGGTATCTTTTATTTTTCGTCCCAAATCCGCCTGTAGGGGGACATGCCCGACCTACTGCCGGGCCCCTGCAGCCTCACCGCGCATCCCTCTCATGCGGTTCGAGTTTGTGCAAACCATCTCGCCGGAGACTTTGGGACCGCGTGCCCCCCCCCCCGCCCCTCCCACCAGGGCCCGCCCGCGGGCCCAGAGGAGGAGCCGGACCCCGCGCGGAACACGGGATGCTCCTCAGGACGTGTGTTAGATTTCAGTCGGGCGTGTCCCTCCACAGGGGGAATATTCAAAAATAGTGAAAAAAAAGTCGGGGGACGATTTTTTGACAATTGTTGGCTATGTTTGGGCTCTTTTTTTTGTTGTGTGTGTGTGCGTTTTTTCGCCCAAAATCTGCCCGTGGGGGACATGTCCGACCTAATGTTAGCCCAATCTGTGCTTGCCCCGTTCAGCTTCGTCGATGGCGCCCAGCCCGTGCGGGCCCTCATCGAGGGCTTCGGCGGAGAAGCGTTTTTTGTTTGTCGGCGACCTAGCGCTCGCGCAGATCCATCGGGCAAGCGCAGGGCTTCCGTGCAGCAGATTACTGTACTGCGCGAGTTGGGAAAGCCGAGCGGGGGGGGGGGCGCGGAGGAGAGGGAGAGTGTGTGAGTGTGTGTGTGTGTGTGTCTTAGCTGCTGAGATACGCCCGTTTTGAAACGCAACGTGTCGGCCCACGTTTTGGCTCAGCGCATCGCGCCAAACGTGATTACGTGTTCAACCTACGTGTTGAGCTTCGTGTCGACACGCTACGGGCTGCGCGTTGCGTATCGGGGCGGCTGAGGTGTGTGTATGTGTGTATGTGTTCACTTTCGATACGTAAGCAACACGTGTTCTGCTGTCTCGGGGCGGTGGCGAACGTGGAGGAGCGGTGAGCGAGGAGCGAGGAGCGAACGGCGAGGAGCGAGGAGCGAGGGGAAGGAGGAGGAGGAGGAGGAGGAGGAGGAGGAGGAGGACGAGGAGGACGAGGAGGAGGAGGAGGAGGAGGAGGAGGAGAAAGAGAAGGAGGAGGAGGAGGAGGAGGAGGAGGAGGAGGAGGGGAAGGGGGAGGAGGAGGAGAAGGAGGAGGAGGAGGTGGAGGAGCGAGGAGGAGGAGGAGGAGGAGGAGGAGCGAGAAGCGAGGAGCGAGAAGCGAGGAACCCGAGCACACACCTTGAGCGAAGCCCCGCTGGCCACGGCGACGGCGGCCCTTCTTGCGAGAGCCTCGGCCCGCTGTCTGCGCCCACGCACGCGCTCGGAGGATCCTCGCGGCGCACTGGCCCACCCTCGGCGTGACCCCAGCATGCTACTACTACGTTTGAGTCGGGCCTGGCCCTCTACAGGAGGAGTATTCAGAAATAGTCAAAAGATGATCTGGGGATGAAAGTTTGAGTATGTTTGATCACTTTGGTGTATATTTGGAATATTTTGATTCTTTCGCCCAAAATCCGCCTGTAGGGGGACACGCCCGACCTAACGTTACCCCAACATACTAATACTACGTGTGCGTCGCCCCCAAATGGGGGCGACGCGCGCACCGAGAAATCTTATTCTTGGTGGTGGGCGCTTTCGGGCCATGCCGCTGGGGAGACGATGTACTACAATATGGTTGCACCACATTTTCGGGCCGGACACGCGCCTCCGAGGACGACACACGTTGGACGCCCGAGCTATCTGGGATAACTGCGGTCGGGGGTAACTCAGGCTTGGGCCTCCGAGGCGCGAATCTGTAGCTATCCCTGACCGCCCCCAGCCCTGAAGATTCCGGGCGCTTGCATACTACCAGTATGCTCTTCTCTTGGCATCGCTCGGGCGTGTGCACTCCTCCGGCGAAGGCCATCGAGGTGCAGATTGGATCATCCTGCGACACGATAAGCGCACCGAGTCGAACAATGCACGCGGCATGGACGTCCGAGCGAGGGCGCGCTGCGCATCCCCCGCGCCAGGCGGCCCCCCGCTCCCCGGGCTCGGCCTCCCCGAGCAGCGTGGGCAAGCTGGGCACGCCGTCGCAGACGTACCTGGAGGCCCGGCGCGGGCCCCGGGCGCCGGCGGTTGGGCGCGGGCGCCGGGCTGGGGGCGGAGGGGGTCTGGAAGGAAGGGAGGAGGAAGCGGGCGAGGAGGCGAGGAGGCGAGGAGGAGGCGAGGAGGGGGGAGGAGGAGGCGAGGAGGAGGCGAGGAGGAGGAGGAGGCGAGGAGGTGAGGAGCGGGGAGAGGTGTGGACGAGGAGGCGAGGAGGAGGAGGGGAGGAGGAGAGGAAGCGAAGGACCCTGACCTTCCAGAGTGCTGCAGAATAGCCCCTTTCGGCCTATAGGCCTCCCTTGACTGCCCAAATCCTCGACAGGATTTTAGATGTCGAGGTCCTCGTGCTATCTTCTAGCCCTCCTGGAAGGTCAAGGGAGGAGGGTAGGAAGATGTGGAGGCGCGGGGGGGGGAGGATGGGGAAGGGAAGGGGGCGAGGAGGAGGAGGAGGAGGAGGAGGGGGATGAGGGGAAGAAGAGCCCCCCCTCCCCCTCGACCCCGCAACCCGCTCCTCTCACCGGCTCGCCACGCACTCGTCGATCATTGGAACGGAGTCGCGCACCGCGGCCCGCACCGCGGTGGTTGATCGCCGTCCCGTCGCCGACACGACGAACTGGTCGGGCGCGACCTGCGAATTCCTGATGATCGGAGTGAGGGGACCGAACGGTCATTCACTGTTCCTGGGCGCGTGGCTGAAGGGAGGTTTTGCTGTGCTGACTGTTGTTGCTGATGTTGTTGTTGTTGATGATGATGATGATGGTGTTGTTACTGCTGCTGTTGTAATTGTCGTTGTTGTTGTCTTTGTGTTTGTCGTTGTTGTTGCTGTTGTTGTGGTTGTGTAATGTTTCTTGTTTCTTGTTGCTGTCGTTGTTGGTTGTTTGTTCGTTTGTTTGTCTGTTTGATTGTTGTTTGTTGTTCGGTGTTTGCTGTTGATTGTTCGTTGTTGTTTGTTGTCATCGTCACCCCCGACCCGGCCCGCGACCCACCCGCGACCCACCGTGCGACCCGCCCCGCGACCTGGCCCGCGACCCACCTGCGACCCACCCGCGACCCACCATGCGACCCGCCCGCGACCCACCCGGGACCCACCCGCGACCCACCCGCGACCCACCAGGGACCCATCCGCGACCCTGCCCGCGACCCCGCTCCCGACCCACCCGTGACCCACCCGCGACCCACCCGCGACCCACTTGCGACCCACCCCGCGACCCACCCACATAGTTTTGACGAAATGATTGGCGCCTGCGGCGAGCTCGTTGTATAACTTGCAAAAATTCAGATCCTGCGGCAGGCTTCTTCAGAGCCTCGCAGACTGCCGACGTCCCCCCCGCCCTCTCACGTAGCACCCCGCAGTTTCGGATAAGAGCGAGGGGGCGGCAGGGACGTCGACAGTCTGCGAGGCTCTGAAGAAGCCCGACGGAGGTCATTTTTTACAAGTTATACATCGAGCTCTCCGCAGGCGCCGAAGTTTGCGTTAAATTATTGTGGGTGGGTCGTTGATTTGGTCGCGGGTGGGTCGCAGGTGGGTCGCGGGTGGGTCGCGGGCCGGGTCGCGGGCCGGGTCGACGACAACCAACACCAAACAACAAACACCAAACAACAAACACCAACAAGCAATATCAACAACAACAAACAACAAACAACACATACTCACAACACCAACACCAACAACACCAACAACACAAACAACAAGACCACAAACAACAACGACGACATTGCCATCAACAACAACAATAACATCAATCACAACAAACAATAACACCACCAACAACAACAATAACCACTTGACCGTCAAGCGCCATGTTTCCAAGTGCCACACGCATATATCATGCTAACTATCCCCATCCTGGCGGACTATCTTCTTGGCGCATGGGGTCCGATATACCCGCACCCAGAACTCCTGCCCAAGGAAATCTCGCGAACACCTCTTCCGAGGAACTTCAGCATACATGCTCGGAAAGCACATCGCTTTCGAAACCTCTTTGGCAGCGCCCTGCTTCGCGGAGGAGAAGGGGGGGAGGAGGGGGGGAGGAGAGAAGGAGGAGGAGGAGAAGGAGGAGGAAGAAGAGAGAAGAAGGAGACACTGCTCCTTCACCGGCCCCTCGGGCAAACCCACGGGCGCAGGAAAAATTCAAAGAGGCCGCTTCGCCGTCGTCGTCGCCGCCGCCGCTGCCGTCGTCGTCGTCGTTGTCGTGGTCGTGGTCGTGGTCGTAGTCGTCGTCGTCGTCGCCGCCGCCGCCGCCGCCGCCGCCGTCGTCGTCGTCGTCGTCGTCGTCGTCGTCGTCGTCGTCGTCGTCGTTGTCGTCGCCGCTCCCACGGCTTACACGATGCCCACGCGTCCTCAGGCGAGCAGCCACGCAAGGAAGCGAAACCCACGCAGATTGTCATAGCGGCGGTCCCCACGCCCAGTCAGCCTAACGATGAACCCTCCTTGATCATCCCTCCACGCCCTCTACAGTCCACGCAAGGCCCGAAGCTGCGCAGAATGACGAAAGAGAAGGAAGAGGCAGGAAGGACGAGGCCCTCGAGAAGGAGGAAGAGGAGGGCGAAAGAAAAGGAGTGAGGATGAGGAAGAGGAGGAGAGGCCAAAAGGACCAAGCATCCCGTCGGGAAGGGCCGCCGTTCATGTCGCTCTTTTGGAACCTTCCGAAGACCCCCGAGGTGGATCTGAGCAACAAATGATTAGGTATCGAACGAGAGCGTTGTTGTTGTCGTTGTTGTTGTCGTTGTTGTTGTCGTTGTTGTTGTCGTTGTTGTTGCTGTTGCTGTTGTTGTAGCTGTTGTTGTTGTTGTTGTTGTTGTTGTTGTTGTTGGTATTGTTGTTGTCGTTGCTGTTGTTGTTCGGGAGGCCAATATGGCGGGACCCCGAAACGCCTGAGCGTGAGGTTCGACTTCGCAGGAAATGCAGCCGGCGCCCAGGCGAGAGCCCCAAGGCATATTCAGGGGGTCCAACAATGATATTTGTTTAACAATGGAGCTCCTACAGTGACTCTGGAAGCCTCCGGAAGGCGATTCTGACACGAGGGCCGCAGTCGTGAGCAAGAAGTTCAGGAGTACCGAGCGGGAGCGCCGTTGTTGTAATGGTGGGCCGTTTGCGGCGCGGATGCGAAAGCGCCGATCCGTTGTAAAAAGCAAGGAAGTATTGAGCCAGAGCGCTGGTTTGGTGGGAAAGTCGGTTTTCGGCGTTGAGGCGAGAGCGCCGACGTTGCGTAGAAGGCGAGGATGTATCGGGCGGGAGCGCTGGTTTGGTGGGAAATATGGCTTTCGGCGGCGAGCAAGGGCACCGGGCCTGAGCAAAAAAGGAGGAAGTATCAAGCTGGAGCGTTGTTGATGTTGGGGGGCCGGTGTGGCGAAACCCCGAAACGCCTGAGCGTGAGCTTCGATTTCGGAGGAAATGCAGCTGGCGCCTCGGCGAGAGCGCCAGGGCGGATCGAAGGGGTCAAACAATCATAATTGTTTAGCAATTCAGGCTCAACAACAACAACACCAGCAACATCAACAGCAACAACAACACCAACAACAACACTTCTCTTGAGACTGTTCGTTCTTATCTGCTCGCCTATGGCCATCCTTGCGGGATGATGTCCATGTTCATCTGATCTTGTGAGGTTGGTTTGGACTGTGCTAGAACCTACGCGCGCGCGCGAAGCACGCGTGGTTCTAGAGTGTGTGTGTGTGTATATATATAGAATCTATATCCTCCTTCTCCTCCATCTCCTCCTTCTTCTTCTCCTCCATTCAACATGTATGTCCCGAACCCTCGATACCCGCCCTCCTCGTCTTCGACCGTGCCCCCTTGGAAGTTTATGTGTTTCTTACCCGCAGTGTGTATGTCGTGCAGCCCCCGAGGGGGGGGAAAGAGAGAGGACGCGTGGAAGGAGGGGACATGGGGGAGGGAGGAGGGGGGAGGGAGGAGGATTGAGGGAGGGAGAAACGAGGCGGAGGGGGGAGGGAGGAGGATTGAGGGAGGGGGGGGGGAGGAGGAGGGAGGGAGGGAGGAGGAGGGAGGACGCATGGAAGGAGGGGACACGGGGGGAGGGAGGAGGATGGAGCACGAGAGAATCTTCCTTCCCTCTGCCCCGAAACTCCTGGGCACCCTTTTTTTTCTCGGCCCCTTTCGGCCCCCGCCCCTCCCCCTGCGAGGCCTAGGCGGCTTCTCACCCTTGCCCTCCTGGCGGGGGCCCGTGTCGGGGGGGTGGCCCCCACTGCGTGCCTCGGGCGCGCGCGCGCGGCCGCGGCCGCGCGAACGGCTTCGTCTATTAGACATCGAGCCGCGAGCGAAGCGAAGCGAAGCGAGCACGAGAGAAACGAGGAGGAGGGGGGTCCAGAGCAGAAAACGCGAGGCAGAACCAGAGGGGCAGATCGGGCGGGTAGACCCTACCAGGCGGGTCGGGGAGGAAGGCCCTGGCGGCCAGGTCGAGCAGGCGGGCTGCTGAAGCGTGCGTCCTGCATGAATCGCGAGAAAGTCTCGAGCGACAGCTCGATTCCCAAATGAATCGTGAGGAAATCCACAGCGAGAGCATAACTCCTGAATGTCGAGGGCGCGGCGTCGGAATAAATTGGGAGGAAGTCCCACGCGAGAGCGCGATTCCTGAATCAATTGTGAGGAAGTCCCGCGCGAGAGCGGCATTCGGGAATATATTGTGAGGTCGTATGAGGCCTGAGCCGTTGTTGTTGTAGTTCGGGGGCCAGGGGCGCAGCTTGAGGAGGAAGATTTTCCCTGATGAAGAACAGGGTGCGAGCCGAGTGAAGGGCACTTCAATTGAAAAACGCATATTGTCTGAAGGGGGGATCAACAGTCATTATTCTTCAGTCGTAAAATTTACAACAATATCGACCATAGCAACAACAACAACAACAACAACAACAACAACAACAACAACAACAACAATCCGCACCGCGTAACCTCACTCCAGCCACGCGCCCAGGGACAGTGAATGACCATTCGGCCGCCTCCCTCTGGCAAGGGATCGTGGCCGTGTGACAGGGTTGAGAGCACGGCCACGTGCACCGCATCGTCGTTTTTACCAGGGGTCGTGGCCGTGTGGCAGGGGTGGGGGGACGGCCACGTGCATCGTATACTGTTCTGCATAAAGGATTTTGGTCGCGTGACCGGTGAGATCACGGCCATGTGCACAGCAGTGTTGTTGTTACATGTGCTGATGGCCGTGTTGTGATAGGGCTGGGAGCACGGCCGTGTGCGCCGCAGTGTTTTTGCAAAGGAGCGCGGCCGTGTGACAGGGGTGAGATCACGGCCATGTGCACCGCAGTGTAGTTGTCTTGTAAAAGGATCGTGGCCGCGTGACAGGGGGTGAGAGCACGGCCATGTATGCCACAGTGTATTGTCCGACAGAGATGTAGCCGTCCGGACTCGGATTTTTGCTGGCATTGGGGAGAGAGCACGATTCCTGAATGAATTGCGAGGATGCCTCAGGAGAAACGGCGATTCCAGGAAGCCAGCCGCGGGAGGTGGGTCTTCTGTGGGGCATGTTTTAACCTCCAAGACCCTCTACCGTGACTGGATGGATCGGCGGATGTTTGGGTTCGCGTCGTGCAAAATGCACGGCGGGAGGTTTTTGGCAGTTTTGTTCACAGTTTTTTGTCTTGGCAGTTTTCGGTCCCTGCGGTCCCTTGGTCGGGCCCCGGGGCCGTCAGAGAACGATTCGGGATGAAACCCCCGTCCCCAGGAGGGGGCCCAGATCCCTGGGGAGGCACGCCGCGGGAAAGCCTCTGCGTCGGATGTCTGGGTCGGGCCGTGGCTGTCTGGGCTCCGGCAGGGTTGCTTCCATCGGGCGGGGTCGGGCTGGCCGACCCTTGGCCGACCGACGCCTTGCCGTTGCAACCCCCTCGCCCCGCTCCAAGACTTGGGTGGGCGGCCGAGGGCATGCCACGGAGAGGGCTCGCTTCGATCAGCAGCGCCCGAGTCGAGGGGGGGGGGAGGGACGGGGCGGCCCGGCGAGTCCTCGGAAGGAGATCCGATGGCACGGAAGCCGCAGCTCACCTGCAGGTGTTCTGTTGGTTCAGTGTCTACGGCCAGGAACTCTGTCTCAGCGTGTCGCTCCGCCAGTGCTGGCCCGCCACGCTTCGGCGCGACACGCTATCCATGTCCCACTGCCCGAGCGCCAGCGTCTCGAGTTTTTCCCAGCCTCGCGCCCCGCGGAGCGAAGCGACACGCTCTCCGCTCGCCGTACAGAGCGTTTCGCCGGTACCGCAGCCGCGACTCGTGATTCAAAAGGTCTTGAGCGTATTTGTTGTAAATGGGCGGAGGGGTTGCCTGAAGTTGTTTTGGAACACGCTCCCTCCATCCCCGAGGTCTGACGGCCGAACATCAAAGTGTTTGTTGTCAGCCTCTCGAGGCTTCCAGGGAGACCTCGAGAGGAAGAGAAGAAGACATGTGGCAAAACGCTCCGCTTTTTCCTTGCAGCCTGTCCCTTCACTGTGGGCTGGTGCTTTTCATTGTCGGCACAAGAGAGAACATGCCTCTGTCGGTTCCCATGGCTAGTTCTGAATCAACATCCACACTCACATTGCGGCTTGCTCTCACAGGTTCTTGGGACTAGCCCCGGCTGCAGCCACTGTCACCACACCATGACTTTCTGTTTTCAGTGTCTCAAAGCGTGAATTGCCTACCCCGCTTTCGCTTCCAGGCAAAACCAAGTCATACCACGCGCCTCCTCGTCAAGCGGCCTGACCAGTACAGGTCGTAGTTTGGCATCGCTTGGTATCTCTTGGAAGCGAGGGTGGTCAAAAGCGAGGTAGGTTTGTTTGCCCCCTAGTGTCAGAGAGTGGCCCCCTCCACCTCCTCCTCCTCCCTCCCTCCCTCCTTCACTGTGGCCCCTGTCTCAGGACCCACCAGCCCTGGCCACTGCCCCAACTGGCCCGTGAAGTGGCCCCCACCGTGGTTTTGCCCCGAGCTGCGGCTGCTGGGACTAGCCCGCACACCCTCAGCCGTGAATGCAGCTGTGCTGCCAATCCCACGAAAGACAAGGATAGCAGGAAGAGCAGGAGGAGGCCAACACGAGGGGGAGGAAAACAACGCGACCCAGAGGGATGATTGAAAAGGTGTTGGGCTATATACTCGTGCCGCAGGGGTGGCCGTCAGTCTCGTGCGACGCAAGCTGCATCTGCTCACCAGACAGCGCGCTTCTGACAGACCCGCCGGCCAAGTTGGGGTCCGCACGTCAGCTTAGTCACATGTTCTCCCAGTGCCAAGGGGCAGTGTTGGTGCAATGCAGTCGCGATGGCACGGAACGGTGCGGCGGGGGCCCGGACCGCCTATCGAAAGCACGTTTGTCGATTCTCTGCCGGAGCCTAAACGAACGCATCGCTGAGAGAGCAACGAGGGCGCCCAAGGCGTGCACCGTCGCGTTGCCACATTGTTCAGGACTTCTGGCGACGCGTCCTTGTGCTCGCTGTCCTCCTCCAGTGCGAGCCAGCAGTCCTCCGAATCGCTCACCCCCTCTGCCCGCCATCGTGGTCCGCCTTTCCCTCGTGCTCTGTGTGTCGGGCCTGGGGCGTCCGAGTGAGATTTGCCCAGAATTCGTCCCTGGACCGCTCCTGGTGCCCATCCTGCCCAGTGCTCCGCGTTGCGTCCGCCCGTCGCGACGAGCACTTCCGGACACGCCCAGGCGCTCCAGAACGGCCACGCCGCCGCCGCCGCCGCCGTCCTCTTTCTGCTCGGCAGGCGTCGCGAAGGCCGTGGCCTCAGGGAGGCACGGGGCTGGAGCGGCACGCGCCGTGGAGGGGCGCGAGCGGTCGCGCGCGCGCTCGCGACGCGCCCGCAGGCCATGGAGGGCGATCTGATGGGCGAGATCTGCCGGCATTTTCCTAGAATTTGTGGGGAGGGGTCGGTCGGGCGTCGCGTAGTGGGGGGGCGAGAAGTGGGGGGGCAGCGAGGGGTGCAGAAAGGGAGCCTTCAGGGTCCCGAAAAGGAGGGCCCTTCAGAGCCCGAGCAGTGCACGTTTTCTCTCTCCCCCCCCCCCGTTCGGACCCCTGATGAGGATCGCCAGGGTCCAAAAGGGGGCCCCTGGGGCCCGCGCAGTGCACCTGTCTTCCCCCCCCCAATGGCCCCCCCCCTCCCCCACTGCGCGGCGCCCACGTCGGGGGACGTCAACCAAGGCACCCGCGCGCACCGATCCTGGCCGGGACGATCCTGGGCTCGGGACCCGTGCGCGTGCGCCCTCTCGGCCATGGGTGCAGGCGTGCGGTTGGCGTCCTCCGGGGCGGGGGGAGCGCGCGCGCGGGCGGGAGGGTGTCGAGGAGGATGCCTTCGGAGGCTGTCGTGTCCACTGGTGTCTCCAGAGGCTCTTGGAGACCCCGGGGAGGACTCGGAGCAGCCCGAGAGAGAGAGAGAGGCACTGGCGGCGGGAAGGAGGTGCGGGGGGCTGGGGGGCTGGAGGGGTGGCCTCGCGTTTCGTTCGATATGTCACCCCTCCTGCCCCAGTGCTCTGTCGCTTCCCCAGACATGATCGCATCGTACAACAATCAGGACGAGTGGTTTTTGACTATTTTCGGCCTCGGGGAGCCTCCACCGGGCCTCGGGACCGTCAAAAACGATTCGGGGCGAAACACTGGTCCCGGGGAAAGGGTCGGGACTTCCAGGGACACCATCCCGAAAAAATCAGGACGTCGCATGTCTGGGTCCCCATCCTAAGCCCCTCCACCTCGGCGTGAGTGAGGCCAGGCGGAGTTCGCTGCCGCCGCCTCCCCCGGGGCTGTGGATTTGCGTTCTAGCGTCTCGCATGCTTCGCATGCCTGGCGCTTCGGCGCCCACCTGCGACTGCCTGGCCGGCGACAGCTGCAGCTCCGACGTCTGATGGCATCTGATGGCCACCTGCAGGATGCTGCTGGAATGGACACGAGAAGCGCCCCCTGGGGGGAGGGGGTCGGGTGCGGCGTTTGGGGGGGGAGGCCGGCATGCAGCGGCGCCCAATCGCCCATCCATCGCCGAGAGGGGCCCGGCAGCCCCACCCCGCCCAGGAGCGCGCGGGCTCGCCGCCAGCGGCCCATCGCCGATGCATCGCCAGCTCCAGGTCGATGCCTTCCCCCCCGCCCCGGGGCCGCCCCCCGCCACCGCCTTGACGCTGCCCCCTGGTGGGGGGGCCGGGAGCGACAGGGCGCAGCATGGGGCAGCGGGAGCGGGAGCGGCCCCCTGGGTGCCTCCCTGGGCCTCTTGGGGGGTCTCGTGAGGGCCTCGTGGGGAGGCATCTCATCTTGGGGCATCCTGGGGGCCTCTTGCCAGCTTTGGGGGGGTCGTCCTCGGCGCCCTTCGCTGCCCGCAATCCATCTTCTACGGGGATGCAGCGGTCCGACAGGATCCGTGCCAAGCCCGGAATCGTCCCACCATTCGGATCCGCCCAACAGCATCGCATTTTCACGGGCTCCGTCCAACAAGCCTCGGATCCGCACGGGACCCGTGGCGGATCCGCAGCCGGGTCCGACGCCCGAGGCTGGAGCGTCTCGGTGCCATCCGGGAGGCTAGCGATCTCCAGGGAAGCGGCGCCGCGCGGGAGCGGGAGCTGCCGGCGCCGCGGCGCGCACGGCTCCCTCGCAACGGTGGCCCGCGGGGCCTCGCGCACGCGGCCGCGTGCTCGCAGGCGGCGCTCTCCCCCGCCGGGGGGGGGGGGGCGGGGGGGGGGGGGGGGGCGGGGGGGGGCCCAAAGAATATACACCACCACCACCGCGTCGATTCCTCCTCTCTCCTCTCTCCAGCGAGGGGGAGGGGGGGAGGGCGGTGGTGGTGGTGTATGTTTTTGAGCCCCCTAGCGGGGGCGGGGGGAGCGGCGGTGCCCCCGCGGCGCGGGCGTCGGTTCGGCGCAGCCGCCCCCGCGGGGGACGCGTCCCGCCCAGAGGGGGGAGCGGCGGCGGCGGCGGCGGGAGCGGCGGGAGCGCCCCCGCGCCCCCAGGCGCAGTTTGCGAGGGGCCGCCTCGGAACAAGAGCCCCTTGTTCCTGAGCCAAACGGCAGTCCTCGGCGCTGCGCCCAGATGCCCCAGACTGCACCATTGCCCGGTGCCGGATTTCCCCCCAGGAGCTGCAGCCAATATGTAGCTACACACATGTATATATATATATATATATATATACATATATACATATATATATATATATATAGTGGAGGATGCGTGCCTCGTGGATGACGCGTCCTCGCGGCGGTCCAATCGAATGTTCCATGCTGGGTGGAGAGGTTGGGAAGGGAGTACACGAACACGTTGCCCGATGCGTAGCATCGGTCCTCTGCTGGTGGACTTACGCACCGTCCTCTGTGCGGTATCGGAGACGCCTACGGCGAATCACCGCCGCCCCCTGCCTGTCAGGATACGTCTATGTTTGGGCAAAGTTTGGCCAAGCTGTTTGACAATGTGTTCCCCTGCCGTTGTGGAAACCCTTCAGGAGACACGCGGGGGAGGAAGAGGAGGATTAGGAGAGGGAGGAAAAAGGAGGAGGAGGAGGAAGAGGAAGAGGAGGAAGAGGAGGAAGAGGAGGAGGAGGAGGATTCAGGCAATGTCTTGGGAGCTTCTTGGGTCATTCTTGGGACCTCCTGGGAGCTTCCTGGGGGCCTCTTGGAGGCCTCTTGGGGGCCTCCTTGGGCCTTTGTGGGCCTTTGTGGGCCTCGCGGGGCTCCGTGGGAGCCTCTTTGGTCGTCTTACAGTTTCCCTGGTCCGTCTGACGCCCTCGGAAGCCGTCTCGGGCGCCTGTCTGGGCCGTCTTGCCTGTCTGGGCCGTCTTGGGGGCCCTCTTGGCGCGTGAGCGCCGTCTTGGAGGCCATCTCTGGCATCTTGGAGGCCGTCGTGGGGCCGTCTTGGGGCCGTCTTGGGGGCCTCTTGGGCCGTCGTGGGGCCACCTCGGATGCCTCCTGGGCGATCTTGGAGCAATCTTTGGGCCTCTGGGGCCGCCAGAAGGCAGAACAGAAGCAAACGCCGGAGAGCTTCAACCCCCCCAGGGGGACGGACTGATTTTGACCCCTCCGGGCCTTGCGTGAGGACCGCAGGCCTCATGGGCCGTCTTGGCTTCGTGGGCCGTCTTGGGTCCTCTTGAGGCAATCTGAGGCTGTCTTGAATGCATCTTCGGCCATCTTGGAGACATATCGAGCCCATCTTGGGCTCTCTTGCTGGTATTCTGGCCGTCTTGGAGTCCATCTTGGCCGTCTTGTCTCGGAGGCCATCTCAAGGCCGTCTGGAGCGGGAAGACCGACGACCCAGGAATTTCCGGCGGCCTTTCGGGTGGCCGGCGGGTTGGGCCGAAGCTTCAGAGGGAAGTCTTTTAGAGAAGAGCCAAAACCTCCCAGAAGTCTGGCATGCCGTGCGCCCACTCCTGTGGCAAGCCACCGGGGGCGGCGGACCTAGTGGCCGGGGGGGCGACTTGCCGTCGTGACCCATGCTCAATGGCCACTGTGCGAGCACCCCCCCGAACGTCGTCTCTGGCAGACGGGTCACAGTCTTCGTCCCCGGCTCGGCCCCTGTCCACGCGGAGCCGTCGGAATCGGAGGAGTCACCAACGTCGGCGTCGACATCGGAGTCTCCCTCGCGAGCGGAGCGCCCCTCGCGCCCCCCTCAGCGGACTGAGGCGCCAGCTGCCTCGTCCAGAGCGCCGCTCAAGCCGCTCTGGCCCCGAGCGCCGTCACCGTCATACCCTCCAGGAGTCTGGGTACCGCCACGGGTGGCTGCTCCGACAGCTGCCGCCCGGCCGCGGGCAATTCCTCCCCTCCGAGCGGTGCGCCACTCGCGCCCCCCTCCGAGGACGTCAACGAACGAGCTCGCCAGTGGGGCGGGGCGCCACTCGCGCCTCCCTCCGGAGGCGGAGCAAGCATCCCCCTTCTTCGAGCGGAGCGCCCCTCGCGTTCAACTCCGAAGCAGGAGACGCCCGAGCCTTTCCTCCGTGCGGTGCGCCCCCCTGCACTCCCCATCGAGGAGGGCCGCAGAGCCAGCAGACCCACCTCCGCGCGGGGTGTGCCACTCGCACTCCCCACCGAAGCGCGCTTCGCCGGTGCCCTCACACCGCACGGAGTGCGCGTCGCGCCTGCTGAGGTCTCCCCCGAGAGCGGGATCCCAGTCGCGCACCCCTCCGATACTGGAGTTGGAGCGGCGCACGCCCGCGATGACCAAAGCCGAAGTCGACCAGATGCTGATCTGGCTTGCCGCTCGAGCCCCAACCCGCGTCCTCGAGCGGTTCCTCCAGGCAACGCCTGAGTGGCAGGGGGTGCTTCTTGTCGTCAAGTGAAGGCGTGTATATACTTATGAGCGAGGGATTTCGGACGGGAGGGTCTATTGCAGCATCGTTGACGCATCCTGGGTTCAGTCTTGTCGTCCTCCTCTTCGTGCTCACCCCAGATGTCTGTAGCCAGTTTGGCTCAAGGGCCGCTGGGGCCAGAGCGTTCTGGGACAGTCTGGAAGGGGTGCCGCAGAACACCATGGGTGCGACCCACGGGAGCGCGCCTGCGCCCACGGAGGACGGCCAGCAGGTCAGGAAGCGCAGGGTCAGGCTTGCAGCAAGCCCCATCGGGCCGCCGATGCCAGAAATGCTCCAGTCGTACCACACCTCGGTCATCGTGGATGACGTGGAGTTCTCCTTCAGCGGCCGGGGCATCGACCAGCTCCAGGGTATTGCCAGCCACGTCCCTTTCGGCGGGAGGCCAGTGGTAATCGACATGGGCTACACGAAATTGTCCCGCACCGCCATGGTAAAATACCTGCACCAGCACTTTATGCCTGGGACGTATGACCTCCTCAGGAAGAACTGCAACTCCTTTAGCGACTGCGCGCTTAGCTTCCTGCTCGGGCAGCGGCTGGAGGAGAAGTACAGGAGCATGGAGAAGATCGGGGCTCTCACGGACAAGCACGTGGGTGTGGTCAGGATCTTTACAGGCGGCGGCTACCAGCCCAATCCCAGAGTTGACGGATGGCAGTCCCACCAGGTCGTCGAGAAGATCGACAAGCAGGTTGTGCGCCCGCGCTGATGCACGCCCGAGCGAAATGATATACCAGAAATGATTGCGATTTCTGCCGCGGGCTGACCGATCCCAAAATACCTCCATGAATGTCGCATCGAGGCTCCTAATTTATCTTAGCTGAGCACCTGGGATCGCGGGTGCATTGCGTTGCATGCCGATGTTTTGTTGCCAATGAATATGGACCTCAGGTTCGCTAGCATTTGTCGGATGGCAAGGCGTATCTCGAAGGCTCTGATTGTACGCTAGAGCGGGTCCGCCGACAGCTGGCGTCCGACAGCATCGCATTATTCGGCTCTGGCCTATCAGTCGCGCACGCATTCGCGCGTCGCTCCCAATTCCTCCCTGCAGAGACAGGGATAACGGACACGACAGGAAAAGCGAATCAGAAGAGTTGATGCAGCATCCGCTTCCTCCTTGCATGTCCTTCTTGTTTGTTTCACCGAGCCCACATCGATCCCCTTGCTCAGCGTTCCATCCCCCTTCGCCACCCCTCTCTCCGCCTCCCCAGTTGGCCAGGAGAAGGGGTGATCCGAAGCTGGTCAGGGGTGTCGGGGCAGCTAGGTTTGGCGGGCGTTCTGGGAGGAGGGAGTGGAGGGAAGAGGAGGGGGGGGGGGAAACACAGGGAGAGGGAGAGAGGGAGGGAGGAAGGAGGAGGAGGAGAAAGAGGAGTACGAGGAGGAGGAGGAGGAGAAGGAGGAGGAAGAGGAGGAGAAGGAGAGGGGAGGGAGGGACAGAACAAGGCAGCAAGAGAAATGATGAGGAGGGAGGAGGGTGAACGAAGCCTCGGAGGACGAGAACCTCGGGAACCTCATACGTAGAGCTTCCATTCACTCTTTGGAGCGCAAGCGAGCCCTGAAGCTGCACGATGCCCTCATCCTCCAACATTGTCCCCCGTCCCCCTTCGATTGTGTCGATTGCGGAGGAGGAGGAGGAGGAGGAGGAGGAGGAAGGAGGAGTAGGAGGAGATGGAGGAGAGGAGGAGGAGGAGAAGGAGGAGGAGGAGGAGGAGGAGGAGGAGGAAGAGGAGGAGCGGGGATGAGCGAGGGGAATCGAGTGACGTGAGGAGGAGGAGGAGGAGGAGGAGGAGGAGGAGGAGGAGGAGGAGGAGGAGCGAAACCCTCGAGAGCCCCCCTGGATCCGCCTCGAAAACTTCGAGATCGCTGAGGAAGCCCCTGAATCCTCGATCTCTTCACCCTCCCTTGCCTATTCGATCTTTTTGTGGCCCTCCCTGATTGAGGAAGCCGACGACGGCGAGGAGGATGAGGAGGAGGATACCCTGATATATGCTGAAATCCTGGAACAGCGCCTGGTTTGAAAACCAGATGTCGCCACCGTTTCTTCCGACGCGCGGCCTTGCGTTTTGGGGGGGGCGCCGCGACCACCAGGGCAAACGCCGCCTCGGACTCGGTGGGTTTCACGTGGTGTTTGCCGCGGTGCCAGCGTCGTCTGCTTGGGCGCGGGGCGCAGGGCTTGCCGTGGGTTTGCCGTGGTGGCGGTGTCGCCTGCTTGGGCGCGTCGAGGACAAACGGCGTGGCGACAGATCGCCGGAGAGTTCGAGAGGAGCAAGCCCCTCTCCCCCCACCCTCCCGCAACCTTCTCAAGGCTCCCTCTGAGAAGGCCGTTTTCTAGACGGAGGACGTCACGGAAGCCTTGAGACGGGGGTCGGTCCTTCCTTTCCCGCCTTCTTGCCCCCTCGGTTGGCCTCCCTGCGCGGGGGCGAGGCCCGTGAGACGCCAGCGCGGACGGGCGGGACGGCACGCCAGAGAAAACCGCCGAAGACCTCCAAGAGCCGCAGAGGGCTTCCTTCTTCTCCTCCTCCTCCTCCTCCTCCTCCTCCTCCTCCTCCTGCTACTGTTCCTGTTCCTGCTCCTCCTCCTGGTTCCTGGCTACTGGTGGCTGGACGGTCGTCTAGACGGAGCCTCCCCCCTGGGCCGGTCGGCCCAGGCGGGGTTGATCAAGTTTGGCAGCCAGGGTCTCATGGTGCGAGCGGCGGCAGGGGGAGTGTCAGCAGCCAAGACGTACAGTCGCCCAATACGGTGTCGCGAACACGTTTCCATGCATGCGGTTCTAGATCCCTTTCCGGATTCGTATATGTCCATCAAGTTTTGCGTAGAGAGCACGATACAGACCCCTGGGCCTCCAGACTGGAGCCCTCGGCTGGAATCTGGATGTCGAGGTCCTGGTGCTATAGATCTTTCGCCCTCGAGGCCGGGAGGATCAGGACGTGGACATGTTCGCAGCTCGTGACGCCCCCGCGGCCGCCACACCCTCCCCTGCCCCTTGGCCTTGTTTGGGGCCGTGTGCATATTTTGCTCGGCGGGGCCAGCGCCGGAGAATCTGGACCATTTTGGAGTACCCCGGACCAGCCTGAGAGAAGGGCGCGCGCGAAATGGTGGTGATGATGCTGCTGATGATGATGGTGATGTTGATGTTGATGATGATGATGATGATGATGATGATGATGATGATGATGATGATGATGATGATGATGCGGATAATGTGGATGATGATGCTGATGATGATGGTGATGATTATGATGATGTTGATGATGATGATGACGTTGCTGATGATGATGATGATGATGATGATGATGATGATGATGATGATGATGATGATGATGATGATGATGATGATGATGATGGATTTTCAGCTTCATCATATCGCGCTCGCACTTTTCTCAGGATGGTCATCATTATCCTGATGATCGGCATCAAGAACATCACTCTCACCATAATCATCATCAGCATCATCATCACCACCATCATCATCATCATCAGCATCATCATCACCTTCGAGCAACAGCGCGGAGAATGGACGCCCGAGCGATGGCAAGGCACACCACGGACCACGCCGCGCGGCCCGGGGAGCCGGAGCCCTCGCTACGGTAGGTTTGCGTCGTGTCGACCAGCGGCGACCCCAGCGCGGGCGTTCAAGGTTGAACGCCGCGGGCGACCCAGAATCGATCGATGTTGAACGATTGGACGTTGCGGAGACGGCCGATCGTTCAAGGTTGAACGATCCAGCGCGGTGTCAGAAACTAACGCCAGGGTCGACACGACACGAACCTAACGTAAGTGGGGCCGCGGCAGAGCCGCCGCCGCCGCGCCCCTCCGCCGCTGGATGGCGCCGGAGAGGAGGAGCGGCATGAAGGTGCGATGATCCATAGGACGTGTGTTAGGCTTAAGTCGGGCCTGTCCCTCTACAGAGGGAAAAGTCAGAAATAATCAAAAATAGAATGGGAACGATTGTTAACATTATTTTTGGCTATTTTTGAACATTGTTGAATCTTTCCATTCTTCGTCCAAAATCCGCCCGTAGGAGGGCATGCTCGACCTAGTGTTGGCCCAAGCGTGTGTTTACCCCGCTGCGCCTGGCTGCTGCTGCCCGCCTGGCTGCACATCGTCAAACTCTTCGGCGTCTGAGCGTCTCTCCTTCCTCTCGGCCGTCCCCCCTTCCCCCCTTTGCACACCGGCCAATTCGCTAGTTAGTGCCCCTACCTAGCTGTTCGCTGGAGCGGAATGGGCACCCTCGCCGGTGACGGAAAACAAGTGTGTTTACTCCGCTCGATTCCGCCGATGGCGCGCAGCCTGTGTCGGCCCTCGTTGCGCCGTCTACATCGTGTTGAAGGGCCTCGGCGAGCAAACACACGTTGGCGCTAACACACGTGGGCGCGCGGGAGCGACGGAAGGACACGGGGGTCGTCTGTACCAGCATTGGTGCGGCGGTGTCCCCCATGGCGGCGCCAACGGCGCCGCCCCTGGCGCGGTCCACGCGCCAGGGAGGGCCCAGCGCCGGTGCAAGAAATCCGCGCGGGCTTCTGAAGGCTTACGATGGCGTCAGTTATCATGCTTCTTCTCCTCCGAGCTCGAGATCCCCGAGACAGAGATGTGACAAGGAAGAACGAGAGGCATTGTGGCAGCCTGGTCGCGTTCCCTTCAAGATCTTCTCATTACGTCGCACCCTGCACTTGAGGGTACAGTGGGGGCCCATGCCGAGAAACACCCTGCTTCCCTCCGGGGTACCTTGGGTTTCTTGGGTTTCGATGGTTTTGCTGTGGAAGGCGTGACGCTCCCACACCGAAAAGCAATGGACGTCCTGGGGTCTCAAAGTTGGGTTTCTTGTGGGCGGTTTCTTGTGGACTGGCTTCCACTGTACCACGATGTGCTCTTGTCACATGGACTGTTCATACAAGTGTTCGCCTCGCGTGGAGCAGGGGTGAGGGCACGTCTCGGACAATTCTTCTCTTGCGGGCCCGGTCACGCTCGCTCGCTCGCTGGGCTGTGCGCTCTTTCCGCCCCCCTTCCGCCGAGTTCGCGCGGCCTGGGCGGGGCGGCAGGCGAGCTGTTGGACGCGGCCATCGAGCGGCGCGCCACCCAGGCCATGCCGATCGGCACCGTGCCAGCGGCAGGCGCCCCCTCCCCCGGGGGCTCCAGGCAAGACGCGGCCATCGAGCTACTCAGAGGGGGGCGAGGTGAGGAAGCGGTAGTCGGCCTTCGGGAGGGCGACTGGACGCGCAGCCCAGACAATTTGGGTGCTTGGGCCCCAGGGAGGATCCAGGGACCGAATTTGAGCCGCAGTTGTATCATGGCGTCCTGCTCCGAGTTACAGAGGAGGCTGGAGAAGGAGGAGGGGAGGAATCGCAAGTTCTCGTTCCTGGCAACCACAAGCCGCAGCGCCTACTAAATACATCCAATTCGTTTGCAAGTGAACGCGCGCCCCAATGGCGCGAATGAAGAAGCGGCTTTGCCAGTGGCGCTATTCTTTTTTAGTTTGACACAAGGGCTTTGCCAGTATACCATTTGTTTTTTTGCGATGGACCACTCATGTGGCGAAGGGGCCACTAACTTCGAGAGCACACTGAGTGCCCACTTCCGCCCGCGGTTCCGTCCGCGCCTCTTTCGGCCCCCTCCCCTGCGGCGGGGGGGGCCTGAGCGCGCGTGTGGAAACACGGCGGATTCTTTGGGGGGTTTATGACTTAGTGGGCGACTTCCCTCTTGCGCGGGGGCGATGGCTGCGAGGAGGAAGGGACAAGGAGGAGAAGCAGGAGGGTGAGGAGGAGGAGGAGGACAAAGACAAGGATGGCCAGGAGGCGGAAGCTGAGGAGGAGGGGGAGGAGGAGGAGAATGAGGAGGAGGAGGAGGAGGATCGAGAATGAGGGCCTAAGCGTTGGACAGTTTCGCGGCTTTCCTAGGCCTCCTGGAGCGTCCCCGTCGCCACGCATGGGTCCGCGGTGACATTATGATCAGATCGTGCTGCAAGGCTCCTCTGGGGAACGACTTTTTCCGAGAGGGGGGGCACAGAAATTTCATCGTATGAAGGAGAAGGGGAAGTCGGAGGAAGAGGGACGGGGAGCGAAGTGGAGATGGGCAAGTGGAGAGAGGATGTTGGAGGGAGAAGAGAAATGGGGTGGGAATTCAGGAAATGACGTGGGGGAGGGAGGGAGAGGAGAAGGGAGGAGGGAGCGTGGAGGGGGGAGTGGAAGGGAAAAGGAGCGGGGAGCAGGGAGGGGAGGATGGGAGGAAGCAGCATCGGGGAGGATGTCTGCTCCAGAGCGACGCCCTTGAAAGTCTACTCCTCCAGCGTCTTGCTACTCCTCCTCCTCCTGCTCTTGCTCGCCTTCGTCGTTCTCGTGCTCCTCTTCCTCGTCGTCCTCGTCCTCAGCGGGCGGGCGAACGACTGCACACAGGGTCAAGTTCGAGGGCCCTATGGGTCTTGCCTTGTTGGCTGTCCCCCTTGTCCTGGTTCTCTCCCGCACCACCCCACTTGTCCCCGCCTCCTGCGTGTCATGTTCCTCGCTCGCTCTCCTCTCCACTCCGATCCCACCGTTCGCATTCGGCTGGTGCACCCTTCGTTGTATACCACCCAGCCTACGCGTGAACAAGTCCCTGCTTACACAGTGCTGTGCTTTAACTTTGCTGGCTAACATACTAGCCAGCGTGAACCCCAACCAGCGTTCTCTTGCACTCTATGTGGTGCAACCACTGTGGTCAAGTCTAGGCGGTGCAATCCATGTTGTGCAAACGATGTGGCACAAAGCAATGCAACACGGTGCAAGTTAAGCAATGCGAAGCAACGCAATACTGTACAAAGCAGCGCACGATGCAACGCAATGCAAAGCAAGGCAAAACAGTGCAAAGCAATACACGCCAATGCGATGCAAAGAAAAGCAACGCAATGCCAATCCATGCAAGGCAATGCAAACCAATGCAAAGCTATGCAACGCTATGCAATGCAATGCGATTGCAATGCGAAGCAATCCAGCGGCGACGGGCTGCGACGGGCGGCGAACTGCCAGGGGGACTCCGTTACCGGCGGCGACGGCGGCGGCGACGGGCGGCAGCGAGCCGGCCGGACTTTCACTCAGGTTCTGCGGACTGCCTCTCAGGCTCTGTTATTTTAGCAACCAGGTAAGAGCCCTTCTACATGCAAGCACTCTCCAATGGAAAACCGACACGCCGCGCCCCCTCCTCAAATGTCCCCCGCATGCATCAACTTATTCCGCGCAGCTCAGGCTGCCATGAGCATGCAAATGAGATCGGCACCTGCTGCGCTTCATGGCACTTGCGCTCGTCGTTCTTCTCCTCTGCATTACCCGCCGGCTCAGAGGCAGGGGGGGAACAGCAGCAGCAGGGGAATGGGGTGCCCGCGCGCCCGGCTCGTTCAGAAACTTCATCGCCTGGAGGTGGGCTCCGATGCGTCTCGCCAGAGCAACCGATCACGCACTGCCGGCCCCGAAGAGACTGGCGGCTCGGCCTTCCGAGCCTCTCCTGCTCAAGGGCTGGCCGCTGACTTCTCGGTGGACTCTCGGCCACGTTCCTCCTCAGAGACCCGGCCAGGAACTTGTGCTCATGTCCTTGCGCGCCGCCGGCTCGGGCCCACCACGCTTCGGCGCGACACGCCAGCCGCGCCCCGGCCCCCGAGCGTCGACGTCCCGAGCCCAACCCGGCCCCCCGCCCCGCGAAGCAGAGCGACACGCGATATCGGCTCGCAGGGCACAGCGTGTCGGCGCCCCGGAGCCATCAGGGCTGTGTGTGTGGCCAGTGGTACAGTCGGGGCGCTGGAGAAGGAACTCTTTTCGTTGGGGATGGGCTCCGTTTTCCTTAGGTTTTCCATGGGAGATCGAAGTTCAACTTCTGGACAAAAGGGGCCTCGTTCCTTCTGTTAGGGTCTCTGAGGTCAGCGCCCCGACTGTAGCTCCCGAGTCGTGTCTCGTGGGCCCACATCGGAGTTGCCCTGGACTGGAGTGATCCCAGATCCTCGGGACATCCAACCACTCCCGAACTATCAGCGGTGGGGGGTGGTCCGGGGCAGCGCCCAAGGTGTGCGCCGGGGGCGCGGCCGCCCGCGGGGGCGCTCGCGTTCCGCGGCCAGGGCCAGGGAGTAGTGCTTCCTCCAGAGCGGCGGCTCGAGGGCGCGGAGATGCCCGTGCCTCGTGCGTCGCGCAGCGCGAAGCGCGACGACTGGCGAAAGGCCTGGCGAACATGGCGGCGGAGGAGGGGGGGGGGCGACAGCTGCTGCGTGAGGGTTGCCTCTGCCCCTCCGCGCGGTGCCGTCGTCGAGGCGTGGGCTCGCGGCTCGCCCCGGTGGCCTGGGGTGCGGGCTCTTCGCGCGCGTTTGGCTCATCCTCTTCTCCCCGGAGGGGGAAGATGGGTCCCAGAGGGAAGGGATCTCGAGAGCTCCACGCAGGTTTTTTGCTTCTGGGGCCCTTCCCGCGTGCACGGACAGTGAAACAACCACTGACGAGTGAAAGCTGGTCTAGGGGAAAGCTCCAGGACCCAGGACTCATTTTCTCTGCAGGGCCCCTTCCCTTCCTGCAAGCCTCCGCAGCATTCGGGTAGGGGGGGGGCGCCCCAGAAGGCAACACGTGCATCGTTGTCGTCAACCTTCTCGTGATGTTAGCAAGGACTCTTCTGTGTTGCCGTCGCTGAGCCGGAGAAGGGTTGCAGTGGAGGAGATCTCGTTGACGTCCGCCACGCTGGTTTTCGGAGGCGAGTTCGTCAGTTTGCTCGTGCGCACGTGATGCACATTCTCTTGTTGTATGCTCCCCGTGAGAAAACATGCGTGGTGCTATGACAATCGAGCGCTCGGCCGCCGCAAGTGGACCTAACGCGTGGACCAGCGTAGGGATCTGTTGGCGCGAAGACAGACAACTCCCAATACACAAAGGATGGGGCTCTTGTAATTACTCCGGCCGCGCCAGCTCCTTACTCACCTCCTTCCTCCTCTTCCGCCTCCTCCTCAGGGTCCTACTCAGGGTCGCTACTCACGCTATGACAATGATGATGTTAGTGGTGATGCTGATGAGCATCATGGTTGTGCTGTTGATGATAATGGCAACGATGATGGCAACAATGGTGATGATGACGATGATGACGATGATGATGGTGGTGATGATGATGGTGGTGGTGATGATAATTATGATAGCGGGGCATTTGGTAGGATGTCTCGAGCGTGGCGCTGGTGATGATGATGGTGGTGGTGATGATGGTGGTGTTGATGATGACTATGATGGTGGTAAGCAGGATGGTGGTACTGTTGTTGATGGTGGCAACAATGAGGATGCTGATGACGATGATGACGATTATGGCGATGTTAATAGTGATTATGCTTAGGATGATGATGATGAACATGCTGCTGCTGATGATGATGATGATGATGATGATGCTGATGACGATGGTGATTTATGGTGGTGCCAATGACGACGACGATGAAGATGGTGGTTATGATTTGATGATGATGATGGTGACGATGTTGTTGTTGTTGTTGATGATGATGATGATGATGATGATGATGACGATGATGATGATGATGGCGGAGCAGATTTTGAGGATGTGTCGGGCGATGCGTTGGATTCCGCGGGGGCGGGCGCCAGGGGGAAGTACACGGGCCCATTCGCGCTCAGATTGCGGGAATGGCTCGAGCGGTTTGTTTGTTTGCATGCTCACCACCCTCCGCTTCCGGAGCAGATTTTGAAGATGTGTCGGGCGTGGCGCTGGTGATGATAATGGCGGTGGTGGTGATGGTGATGACGATGGTGATTCTGGTGGTGATGATGATGATGATTGCAGTTATACAAACGCGTTTTGCGGAGCATGAGTGGGTCGGGCCGCCTTAACCGTTTGGGCTCAAGGCGTAACGGGGGGAGCGGTCCGCGCGGGACGCGGATGTGGCAGCTGGCGCTGGGAGGAGCAGTCGACGCGGCCGTCGCGTACCTCCATCGGTGCCCCGCTGCGCCCGAGTGCCCGAGCTGCTCCTTGACCTGTCCCACCTGCCCCTCGTTCACGTGCCCTCCGCCAGCCTCGGTCAGCTGCCCAACGTGCCCTGCGCTGACCTGCCCCGCGGTGGCGGCCGAGGCGCCGCGAGCCACGCCCGAGGGGCGTGCGGAGGCGCCTCAGTCGTGCCCCGCCTGCGCTGCTTGCGAGCGGCCGGCGGGGCCTGAGCCGTGCGACGTCTGGCACGCCTTCTTGCGAGGGCTGCTGGGCGGTGCCATCGGCGGCGGGCTGCTGACGCTCCTGTTCGTGAAGGTCGTGGGCCGTGGAGTGCGGGTGGGTGAGATACGTCGGGGACGACCTGGTTCTCCAAAGGTGGGTTTCCGGCCGCGTGGTGCCATCGGCTTCTGAGTATGTCGGTACCACGCCGGACGGCGACACATATATTGAGAAGTATGACGCCAATGATCATGAAGATGTGGACCTGGTTCGGTGGAGTGCGAGATGGAACGACGTCCCCAACGGTGTGAATCCTGCGCGGGTGTACCGCTGTCGGGTCGAGCCGACGGCGGTGGAGAAGCAGGTGTTCTTTCGAGATGCTGAGCTGCTGGCCGATCATCGCTGTCGCATCGTGGCGGCCACGGTCGGGCGGCCCGACCTGCTCACGGTGCCAGGCTTCCGCGCGCTGGTGCCGGGCGGGCTGGGCGGCGCCGCCCCCGCCGCGGCGGCGGCGGCGGCTGGGCCTGTGGTGGCTGCTGGGCCTCGCCCAGGTGTGCTGCAGGGCGTGGCGGCTCAGGCGGCGGCGGCGGGCGCTGGCACACGCTGGCGGGCGGCGCAGTCGCTGGGGGACGTGCGGTGCGGCGACGAGGTGCCTGGCCACGTGGCGACGGCGACCGCAATGCGCGGGCGCGACCTCCACACCCTCGGGGACGGCAGTCCCGTGTTTGTGGAGGAGGTGCCGGCGGGCGAGTTCGAGTCGTTCATGGGGCGCGCCGCGGCGGCGGACGCTCGCGTGATGCCCGTCATGCGCACGGGCGCCCGGCGCGAGGTGACGTGGTCCGTATGGCCGCCCGTGTTCGTGAGGAGGACTTCGGACGCGACTGGCTGGTGACGGGCCCTCGCACGACGTCCTGGTGCACCGAGTTCATCAAGTTTGTACGTCAGGAAGTTGAACGTGAAGCTGCCCTGGCGAAGAACCTTCCGCTAGGCTCATGAAGAGAAGGAGGCTCTCAAGATGGGCAAGAAAGACGATCAAGGTTGAGGGCGTATGGAGCGCCCCCTTCGTGTTTCCCGGTTGCCAGGCAACTGGGAGGCGCCTTCGCATGCTGAGTTTGAACGCTCTTCCCTTGGTCGTGATGAGCCTGCTCGGCTGGTTGCCCGCAATCCTCTACCTCTGCCTGTCCCGCCGGTCGCCTCCGCGCGCCCTGCCGATGGTGGATTTTTGTCGCGGGGATGCCGTCAGCGGGTTCAGCAGCCTCGCGCTCGTGACCTCGACGTTCGGAGGGCGGTTGTCGTCCTGAATTCATTGCATCACTCTCCTGACGTCGTGCCGGGCGGAGAGGGTCAACTCAGTGGGGGCCCTCTGTCGCTGACGCAGCAGCGCATCATGGAGCACGTGCGCGACTCAGTTGACGCGCGGGGGGCTCCACCGGCAGGCGTCGACACCGCCGAAGCTCTGCGGAGGCTTCGGGCGCTTGGCTTCTACGCGTCCGACGAGGACGTGAAGCTGGGGAACTACAATCCCGAGCTGCTCTCGCTGCCGTCCGCGGGGGGCCATGCGGTTCCACTCGCGGACTTGCGGCGTGCAGGCGGGCGCAGGCGCGTCGCGGAGTTTGTCCGCGATTGCGTGCTACCTGCGGGACCGGCGCTGGAGAGGAGAAAGATGCGCGGCGTGAGGGCGCCCTATTCTGACCCAGCGCTTCGCCAACCGCGTGTGTGGAGCGATTTTGTCTCGCGACTTCATCGCAGCGGCCTGCTGGATTGCGCCTGCGACCGCGGCAGAGAGTCCGTGGAGTTCTTCTGTGTGCCAAAAAAGGATCAACGGTTGAGACTTGTGTGTGATTGTCGTCACAGCAACGTTTGGTTTCGAGAGCCTGATAACGTCGCGCTTTGCACTGGGGAGACCCTTGGGAACCTCGAGGTCGGTGAAGACGAGACGCTATATATTTCAGAAGCTGATCTGTCTAATGCATTCTACCACCTGCAGCTGCCTGTCGAGCTGCGGGATCTGTTCACCCTTAGGCGCGTCCGTGCATGCGATATCGGTCTGACCGAGATTGACGGGGCGCCCGTGCGCAACGGGGCGTGGGTGCACCCAAGGCTCCGTGTTTGCACCCGGGCGCTGTGGCGGTGTCAACGCGTGCACGAGAGATTGGTTGGCGACCCGAGGAGCGGTTGCAGGACCGCCGCGTGATTCCCCCTCTCGTGGGTGCCTGCCATCTCGAGTATGTCGACAACTTCGTGGCTATTTCGACTGTCACCTCCAAGGTGCATCGCCTCGCGTCCGCCGTCGTCGAGGGATTCAGGGAGGCTGGGTTGGTTGCGACCGCCGATGTCGACTCGCCCGGGGAGGGTCTCGCTCGTGACCGCGCCGTCTTGGGATGGGACTTCAGCTGCCGGGCCGCCGTCCTGAGGCCCACTCGGGCCCGTGTCTGGGGAGCCCGCCGATGCGTCCGCGCCGTGCTTCGCCGTGGCCGCGCCTCTGGAAAGGTTCCGGAGAGACTCGTGGGCCATATGGGGCTCATCAGCCTTGTCCGAAGGGAGAGCCTCGCCGTCTTCGACACGCTGTTCGCGTTCATCCGCCGCTTCTACTCTGAGGAGGCCCCGCTGTGGCCCAGCGTCATCAACGAGCTCATGATCTGGGAGGGGATCGCGCCGCTGCTGCGGCGCAACCTGGAGGTCTCGTGGGGGCCGTCGCTGTATGCCGTTGACGCGTCCCCGACTGGTCTTGGTGTCTGCTCGTCGCCGATCTCTGTCGAGGAGGCCCGTGGGCTTGGGAGGCACTGCGAGCGCTGGCGTTTCTCTCGGGGTGCGCGTCTTCCTCCGCGACTTCAGGCTGCCGCCGCTGCCGCCGTGTCCGACGACCCCGAGGTGCAGTGGCTGTCCCGGGTGCACGACAACGGGTGTGGGGAACTCCTGGGATATCGACGGGGGCCCGCCGCCTGCTGGCAGCACCGCCGCTGTCCTGGGATCTGGGCTCGGTGACGCTCGCGAGACCGTGTTTCGCGAGGTGCCCCTGAAGCTCATGAGACGCGACTGGAAGATTGTTGGGCTGTACAAGTGGAAGGTTGAGGAGCCGATGCCGATTCTTGAGTGACGAGCCATCTTGCACGCGCTGCGGCACGCCCTGAGGAACGCTCAGCACTTCGGGCGGCGGATCGCGGTCTTGGGAGATGCTCTCGTCGCGGCCTGTGCTGTTTCGAAAGGGCGATCGGATTCCAGGGCAATGCTTGAGGTCACCCAGTCTGTCGCTGCTCTCTGTCTCGCCACTGGGCGTGTGCTACACTGCCGGTGGCTTCCCTCGGAGTGGAACGTGGCCGACGGGCCCTCGATGGGGGCCGGCCGTTCCCTCGGTGCCGCAGCCGCTGTCTCTCTCGAAGCCCCGCGAGCTGGAGCGGCTTCGCTCGGCTGGGCGCCAGCGTCGGCGCCGCGCGCCGGGCAGGCCCGCATGGGGGAGGCTGCGAGGCGCCGGGCT